TAAGATAAACCATAAAAATTGCAACAAATTTCAGTCTTTTTTAACGAATACGAAAATAAAAATTCAATGTATATAAAAGTTTTATAAATAATTTTAATATATAAAGATAAAATAAAATAAGAAAAATTGCGTAATTTGCTTTTCCAATTTACATATTCGGAAGCCTGGGAACTTTCTTTTTAGAGGAAGATAAAATTTCCAGAATCGTGGGAGTAATTTGAAGGGGGCTGACGTATGGTTTATAAAATATATGTACGCAATCTCGCATGAATCACGTAGCCAATTCGATGACGGGATATACACATGACTCCCCTGTATTACGAAAAAAGAAGGCGTTTATCGAAGTAACATTTCTCGATGACATACGTGATGAAATATCGGTGAGGCGCGATAATTCATTTCTATTCGATGACGCGCAGGTCGCATTGACGCGATGCTCGTGGAATTTAATCTATAATTATGATATATAAAGGCCGAGCGCTGGCTGCGACTAATCAGAGGAGCGGGTTGCATTTAATCACAGCCGCATCACTTGCATTCGCCGACATGAACATTTACTCGTCACCGTTATCGTTTTAGCATCGATCGAGGAAAATAGAACGCTAAATAACACGTCCGATTGTGAGTGAAGAGTGATCGCGTTAATAAGCGATATAAATGCCACGAATAAAAATTTTGCGATTTTTTTAAACTGATAAGTGCTTTTGCTAATAAAAACAGCGTTAATGACTTTTGTCAAAATATGTTTTATCGTTAAAAAATTAATTTATGTGCTTTATCCTTTCTAAAAATAAAACATGAATTTGACGTTATATTAGTTCTTGAAATGACTCAATCAGTTACGATTTATTCGTCACAAAATTAAAACGAATTAATTATTAATTTATTACAGAGAAATAACTTTTTAAAAATTAACTGCATAAAAAAGCTATTTTCTTTAATCGCGGTAGTTGCTTTATTAATCTTTCTTCTTCGAATTCGAATTGTTTATCAAAAAGTTGATCGAAATAATAAACACGATTGCATAGCTTTCTATTGACAGCATTCATTGAGTAATCTCAAATCTGACGTCATGTGTTCGTGTATATGCAAGTAATTGATAGTTTCGTGATATTATATGTTCCTGCACTTTTGATATAAAGCATCTGGTAACCGGATCATTGATTGATGATGCTGCAAATTTTGTCATTGATGACAGTTGCCACCGATAAAAAAATATTGTTGTTTATTTTTTCTTGTCTATTATGACATTTTTTAAAAATTGCATTAATCTTTTATGTCTTTTTAGATTTTTGTATTATTAAAATAAGAGTGTAATCTCACGGTTCATTAAGAAATCAAGTTAGATATTTCGATTTCTTTGTTCTAGCAATAAATAAAATGATTTTTCTATATATCTTTGTATAATTAATAAATAAATTTTAGATGCAAGTACATGATAAAAAAAGATATATTAGGATATGAAAGTGAAATAGCAAATAATTGCGGAAGCGATATTCTTGAGAACCACGTGTACTTTCTTTAATATCAGTACCAGACGATGTTATTTATCTGGTCTGAATCATATTACGCATACGCTCAGACATGAGGAAGGAGGTTTGCGCGGGTAATTAATGTCTTGTGCTGATACTATCATGCATTTTCGTAGGTGGAAAATCAAATCGCGGTCGCTACTGTTAATGAAATTAAATGGGTCAAGAGCGTTTAGTTATGCGATAATATTGATAACTGACTGGTTATAATTTCACACGCGTTAGGAAAATTTGATGATTAGCAACGCTTTTTAAAGTTTTATTATCAAATCTTATAAAGTAAGTTTAGTAATAATAATAAATAAATAAATGTTTTATTAGAAAATATATATTTAAAAATATTTGATGTATTAAGAAAAATTATTTTGGATTAAAGTAATTAAAAATTAATATCGTTTTCATTTATGATCATATCGTGATGTTATTAATTAACTGTATTTCGAGGACATAAACAAAAGGATGCCACGAATAAAACCTCTTATAATATAAATTAAAACTTGATTCTTAATAAAGAATTTATGGAATATTAAAAAGGGAAAAAGAGAAAAAAAATATTTAAAAATATAATGATCTGTGATCTTCCCCTTACGACGAAGGGACTTTAAATTGATTTTCAAGGCTGGCCTTAAAGTGATCTTGTTGATTTGAAGGCCTTAAAACAGCCGTGTGTCTTAACCTTGGTAACCTTAGAAATACCTCTGGAGTTGCGCCAGTTTCTGAATGACCAATTAAACGAACTGTCTGTCTCTCCCTCAGAATGTCAACTCCACTTATATTATTAAACGTTTAGATTCCATCTAACTTATATACTCTTCAATCTACTTAATGTTGATCACAATAATTGTAATACTCTATTTTAAAAAAATCAAAATTTGCCGATATTTTTCATAAACCGCGATGTATTAATTGCTTAATTTGCGTCCAATGACTCGAGTCTCTTTCTCTATCTATTATCACGAAATATATCAAACTCGCATTGATGTAACTTTGGACCAAGTCCAGAAATTGCTCTCAGATAGATGAGCCCACGCGCACGAAGGCCGCTTGCATTTCACTTTGAAGAGTACCTATTATCGATCATCCGCTTGAAACGCTCGTAAACATTTCTGTCACTCTTGGAACCACAGTTGTCTGGTCCACAACTTTTCTCGTATCGCTTTATGTGACACATCTCGTGAATTTGCATCTCAATGAGCGGCATATCGATAACCGCAAACACAACAATTCTAAATTATTCCTTTTATATATTTTGTGGTTTAAAGAGGTAAAGAAACGATTTTCAAATGTATAAAGCCAAGTTTTGAGTAATTCTAAAATATTAATATATATTATCCATATATTAATATTTTAGAATATGTATTATTTAATACAATACATATATTATGTATATATAATATATATTAATATAATATGTATTAATATAATATATATTAATTTATATATACATATATATATATATATATATTAATAATTTTATAAAATAAGGACTACATAATACATATACACAATATACATCGACTCTTTTTAATCCATCTAATTTTCTACGAGACCGAAGAAGAGCTACCACTGATTATACGAATCAGCCACTGGACCCATGTTACTCCCAAATCATCGGTCAATTTAGACTTCGTAACTTTTAATTAACATTCTTTCTGATGTCCCTCGAGGTAAGCGCGAGGAACCGTCCTTATTGAGGCTCTTTCTGGGGTGCGACGCTGATGTCATGGGTCAGTTGTCGTCGATTTCACCGCAGAAGAGACGCATCGAGACGTTGCGCCCTTTTTTATTCAACTCGTGGCCTCTCAACTAAAACATTGCGATCTTTTATGTACTTTCTTGTCTTCGTGTTAATTAATATTATTTGCCTTTAGGATGGGATTCTATTGCGATGTTTGCTCGGGTAATTTGTTTTATTTTATTCCACCGAATAAAACGTTGATTGGCTACTTGAAGACACTTCGTGGCGTCTTAGGGAGGACAAGTCAAACGAGCGACCCACTTATTTACGCATTCCAGGATGCGGAGTATTTGCATTAATTGCTCGTTCCTCAATGAACGCGCTCGTCAGACTCGTCCTCTCGGAGAGTCCGCGGTCGACAACGAAAGAGAAATCCTTTGTTCTCTCGTCTGTATGAGGAAAGAGTCGCCGATGCGGTTCTCGGAAGTATGTATAGAATGAAGAATACGTGATACGCATCGTTGAGTATAATTTTGCGCTTGATATGTCAAAAATATTCTGCAGATGAAATTTTCCTTGCGATTTCACGTTCGATTTTACTTTAACGAGAATTCCTTTTCATTTTTTAAAAATATTTTTAATAAGATACAAAATTATCTCAAAGTCATACAATGGATAATCGAATGTAATGCATCTCTATCTATTTTTCCTTTTTGTAAAAAATGCTTATTTTTAAAGAATATATTTTTATATATGATTCCATTGTGTATTTAGAGAACGTATGTAGGCATATATTTAAATTTAATTGTAAGTACCATCGTCTAGAAAATCGGTATTGTTACGCAAGTATGTGGCCTACCCGACATCAGGAAGCTGAAATCACGATCCTCGTTCCAGTCTGGTAAATTTCATCAATATTATAATGCAGTCAAACACTCGTTTCAGAGTTATGTGATGCGTGGACCGATCTCGAGGGTTACAGATGTTGAGTATACAGAGAAGCTTGGTCGAATTGTTGCTGACGAATTATTTCGAAACAATCTTAAATCATCGTCTTTCAAATATGCATGCATCTTTGACATCTAACTTAATGATACAAACAATAATTTAAAACATGAATGATGTTTATATAAATCTAGATTATTAATTGTATATTTAGTTTTATTGAAATTGAACAATATAGCCTCCTCATCAGGGGACCTTTAATTTTGTGCAAGTAGATGCGACAAAAGAATGAGAAATTGTTTATTGTTTGTTCGTATGACTCAAAGTTACATAAAACTGAAAATATTTCCATCATCTTTTAGAATACAATGTATGATGACAAATCGCGTGGCATTTAAACGGCCAAACATCTTGAAATCATTCCAAAGCAGACGGGGTGACGCGTCTCTCCTGGCTCCAACATTGCAAACTCTTGGCAGTGTCATTGTTGTCAACTGCCAGCTGTTACCGAATCCTACATACCTTACGCGCGAACACCTGAACGAGTTACGTGACTCGCGGAATTGGTGCCATTTAAAGTTACGCGAAATTAATCAAAGAAATCATAAAGTTCAACTAAAGTTAGATCAAAACACATTGCAAAATTGAATCGTCATCCTCTAGATATACCCTTTAACAAAATAGAATTAAATGAAAAACTGACATAGACTGTGTAATAAATTAGAAAAAATAGATGTAGAAAAATAGATATAGATCTTGCAATAAAATAAAAAATCTATAATAATCGATAATATATTTAAATTAATATTTAATTTAATTGTATATATTTAATTTAATTGTTTCAGGATGTGGACCGTACACTGCCAGAATTTAGTGTTCATCGTCTTCGTATTTTTACCTTCCATTGCGAGAGGCATCCCGGATTATACTGGATTGCCACCGGGACCATATTGTGCCTCGAGGTATGCTGGGGGCAGTTGTTGCCCAGGACGACAGGATGACTGCAGCGCACCGATTCTCACGACGTTGTGCTACTGCGATGACTTTTGCGATCGGTCTCGCGAAGAGGACTGCTGCCCGGATTACTGGTATCATTGCAGAGGAATAGAACCGAATATCACGTTGTCGCCACCCGAGGAGATAAGAAGTGCGTATTATTTATATACGCATATCTATGTATTGTATAATAAAAAGTTTAATTTACTTGCAGAGAAGATGAATCTAAAAACATTAAATGATCATAAGATTGTTTCAGATAGATTTTATTGTACAATTATTTATATATTATTAATATATCTTATTATTATTATTTATTATTGATTGAATTCTCTAGAAAAATCTCCTCGTGTTGTTTCAGGATGCTTCTTCCAGGGGAGAGAATACAATCATGGACAAACGTTAAAAGTCAATTGCAATACATGGTAATATCTTCCTTAATGCGCAATAACGGATTGTTGAGAGAAAGCAGATCGTGTGTAAATTTAATCTATATATTGCAGTAAATGCTCCTCGCTCGGCAAACGTGCCGAAGTGCTCTGCGAGGAGAATCGATGTTTGATCGATCCGGAATTAATAGAGGAGATCAATTTGCAAGAACAAACTTTAGGATGGCAGGCGAGCAATTATTCGGAATTTTGGGGAAGAACTCTCAAGGACGGCGTGCAACTTCGTCTGGGTACTCTTAATCCTTCGCAATCCGTAAGTATTTTAAAAGTACCTGCAAAATTTTATCACAAATGTTATGCGTACATTATAATGCAGAATGTTCACATATTTTTCTCATAAAAAATAAATCTTTAAATATTTTGATCAATAAATAAGATACGTTAACTGAATGAAGTATACATTATTCAAGAGGGAATACATTACACAGATCGCAAGCGGAATCAAAAGTTTGTAGATGATTGCGCGAGGTTCTATAGCTCGATAATTCCAAAGTAAAACAACCTTGTTCTTAAAACGCGCGATGACTGTGTATAGACGCGAAATTGTCTCGAAAGATTAGGTCAATTGCTCCGCTTGTGCAACTAAGGCTAAAGTAATCTCTTGTACTTAGCTGCGGGGGTTTTATGAATAAAAAAAGCGTCTGAATGACTCAACATTACTTATGCGAATAGTGTCGGACTTAATTCCCTAAGGTTCTCCGAAGTCGTTGCTTAAGAACGTAGATCAATTATGTGACAAAAAATTGTCAATATGCAAATGAACGAGGATTCGCGATGAAAAAAACTTTGGGGCTGTTTTGCTAAAATATATTCATCTCTATCGATTACTTTTAGGTGTACAAAATGAATCCGGTACGACGTATTTATGATCCGGACGCGCTACCACGAGAATTTAATGCCAGAACGCATTGGCCACGCGATATATCCGACATTCACGATCAAGGATGGTGCGGCGCTTCCTGGGCCATCTCCACGGCCGATGTCGCGTCCGACAGATTCGCGATTATGAGCAAAGGCGCCGAAGGCGTGAAGCTAAGCGCGCAGCATTTGCTCTCTTGCAACAACAGAGGCCAACAAGGCTGCAAGGGCGGCTATCTCGATCGCGCCTGGCTCTTCATGAGGAAATTCGGGTAATTTTGTGTAGATAATTTAATTTTTTAAATATTAAATAATATTTTCTCGAACACACATTGTATATACACATATATAGTTCAAATTTTAATTGTATTTAATTGAAAACTAAATCTTAATTTTATCATACTATATGTATACAGACATATAAAATAGATGATTAATTTTGCAACAGTATAGTTAATAGTTAATATCGGTGTACAATGTTAATTTTTGAAATTTATTGATTCAAAGTCATTTTTATGTCTTAAAATTATTATACTATATATTATATATAATATTTTATAAAACGTGCGCGATAGTGAATTTCTTCTATTTAATATTATTATGTGTCGTAGACTGGTCGACGAGGAGTGTTATCCTTGGACTGGTAGGAACGATCAATGCAGACTGCGTAAGAGAAGCACTCTAAAGATCGCTGGTTGCCGAAACCCGTCAAACCCACAGAGAACAGAGCTGTACAAGGTCGGGCCGGCCTATCGTCTAGGTAACGAGACTGACATTATGCAGGAAATCCTGACGTCTGGACCCGTGCAAGGTAGCTGTTACAATTTACATTATCAATTGAGATTTTAAAAATGTATATAATATATACACAAGAGAAAGAGGGAAAATAGTCATAATGCAAAAATATTAACACATAATATTGCAAATAAATTTAAAAGAATGTTAACAAAAGTAACGTCTTTTCAGCTACCATGAGAGTCTATCAGGACTTTTTCAGTTATGAGAGCGGAGTATATAGGCACTCTCGAAGCGCAGAACTGCATGATTCTGGTTATCATTCAGTGAGAATAATCGGTTGGGGTGAGGACGCGTCTTATCGCGGTCCACCGTTGAAATATTGGGTAAGCTAACGATATATCACAGTTATACGACGATAAGATTCGTGCAGTATTTAAAAGAAAAAAAATTCAAAAAGATTACGTTGACACAATTACTATTCTTTATATGTAATTTGTTGTATGATATCGCTTACAATTTTTTCTAGACAAAATACGTCTCTAAGATGTTTTTAATTTGTAGATATTTTTTAGACTAGCACAATAAGTTGTTTCGTCTTATAATTGTATTTAAATAATTTAAATGCTTAATCTTTTTCAGTTGGTCGCGAATTCGTGGGGACGTAATTGGGGAGAGAATGGACTTTTCAGGATTCAAAAAGGAACAAATGAGTGTGAAATCGAGTCGTATGTGCTGGCGGTGTGGGCCAAGACAATATAAAAAAAGAAAAGAAAATACCAAAGTACTAGAATATCCGATTATATAACATAATTATTGGTGCATTTATTGAATCTTTGTCGTTGGCCCATCATCGTGTACAATGACGCGATAATCTCGAAAACGAGAAACAATATGATACATCGATTTTTGAAAGTATGTGATCCAGTGCCTCCATATACATCTTTTATTACATGTAAGATTGAGAGGGAGGGAGGGAGGGAGGGTGGGTGGGGTAAAACGGGTATAGAATTGTTTATAAATATTTAATGTAAGTACAAACATATAGTCGAAAAAAGTGTCATCCCTATTTTCTCATTATTTGTAGACGCAATAATTATATAAAACGCCCGCTTCGTATAATGAAATCAGAATTGATATTATTTGCGAAAATCACGTGTCTCGTGTATTAATATTCATGTGTTAATGAATTCGAATAGTTCGTGTAAGGAATACTAAGTGCCATATGCGCTTGAAATAAATTTTGTAAGTACGTAACTCATATAGATTTCCCCTTAAATGATCAATATTCCTCTATATACAAAATCGAACATCACATAAAGGCTTTATATTAACTTTAATCAAATATATATTTTTTGGGGGATAAGAATAAAACCTTTTTTATATTCTAACATAAATATGTTTTCACACTTGCGCACGATATAGGATATATTGCTCTCATAAAATAAATGGCAGTGTGGATGGTGTATTAAAACGTGATACTATTAATTATATTTTTAGTAGAAGGTCGATATATTTTTTTATATTTACGCGCCGGAATAATTATGCAAGATATTATTTTAATTCTCTTTGATTATCTTATTGCGAATCTTTCTGCAAATTGACTAAAATCTATATCAAATACGAGTATACATTACGATACAGAATATATTAGGCACTCTCGAGGAATAATCGTGCACGTTACGTCAATAACTAAAAAGGAACTCTCTTACGTGATTTCACTGTTAGACTACGACGCTTCGCCTGTTGCTTTTACAATGGGGACTGTACACCTCTAATTTATCCCGCGGTGTGTTCATCGCAGAATAATCGATGGGAAACGGTACGGTGTTATCGCGTATCATGCAGGAATCCGTCATGCCCAGGAAATGCTCTCCCGGACCGAAAGGGCCGCGACCGAATAGGAAGTTAGCGAACACCAGCTGATACTGCGGCCAGCCAAGAGGATGATCTCCATTCTTTTAACAAATTTCTCATCGTTATATATTATAAACTTCAAGAGATAAGTTAGTCTTAGATGTGTCAAAATTTCACATTATAACTTTAATTGAAAATTTCTTGTAAAAAATTTCTTTATTTGTTTTGAATTAACTTACCGAAGTCATGGAATCGTACGCGATATCCAGACACTTCTTTATTCTGTCGGTGTCCAAGCCGACCACGGATCCGTAAAAAGCCGCGAGTTCCTTCTTGCTGATCATTCCACTACCGGAGCTGTTGATGGCGAGAAAGAACACCCTAGGCATAACTTTGATCCAAAACGGTATATCGTTGTAGCTTGCACCGTCCGGTGGTGCGACGATTTTCGCCCACCAGGACAGCCATTCCTCGAGGTCGATTTTTTTATCCGACTCTGCGGATTCCTTCTCCTGAAGAATCAATCCGGCGAATCCGTTCTCGATCTCCAACAGCCTCAAATATTCCGGACCATTCCATGACCAATCCGCAAATCTTCTCAAACGCTTTTGGAAGATCAAGGTATTGATTACTTATTTCAAATTTTAGATTGTTTTACTTTTTTTCAAATTTATTAATAAATATGTATTGTGTAAATTATAAATCAGCAATATTTTAATACATGTCATTTTCGTGCGGCTCGAGCATAATATAAATATTTATATAATTTTTCATAAAAGCGTAAAAAAAACTATAACAAAATAATTAAAGTTTATATTATTTTTATAAATTTTAAAATAATGCAAAATTTGAATTTTTAGACTATACCTCCGAGAGTGTTGAAAAATCCTTCCTGTTGATGTAACCGTCTTTATCGTGATCCAAGAGATACGTAAAAAAATGGGAAAACTTATCACGCTGTATGAGTGCTAAAGATTTTGAACCGTCGATTTCACCAAATTCATTAATAGCGGACAAACTCTCATCACTCGGAAAGCGGCTTACCCAGGTTGCTATTAAATTACAAAAATTAATCATATTTTAGATTTAGATCATATCAGTATTTTCATTGTCGTAAAATAATTTAATATTGATTTTAATTTATTATTAAATTACAATGTAATACTTATTATCATACTGCTAGGAAATATTATAGACAGCATAAAATAGAAATCCTTCGACTTTGAGTGAGCACCAAATTTTTGTAAAATCATATACAAAATGCATGCAAACTTTGTATTAATAATTGCTATCACATAAGATTTTTACTTATACATAAAATTCAATTAAAAAACTAATTTAAAAATCATTTGTGGAAATGAATTGTTACTTCATATAATTGCGTTATTGTTACTTTAAAAAAATTAGTCGCAAATAATTTTACAGGCAGATGAAGACACTCTACATAAAATAATTCACATTATACTCGAAGAAGAAAGTCTAGCTAAAATAGAGGTCAAGTACTCACTCCACACGTGTACGCTCCAGCTAGGTTGTTCCAGTTCGGGGATGACGGCGGGTTGGACAGCGAGCTCGTCGATGTTGCTGCTTGTCGTTCGCCATCTCTTCAGCAGGTCCTTGGTCCGATCGCGGGTCCGATCGCAGGCCTGTCGCCAGTTGGTGATGAATTTTCGCGGCACCTTGAGCGCGTTGCCGTCGTCCAGGCTGATCTCCTGGCTGCCGAGGGAGCTACGTTGACTCTTGTCAGCGGATTCGCTACCACCGCCGCCACCCCCAGCGCTCGACGTGCCATCGTTCTCCGGGTAGTAGATGGGATCCTTTATGCTGCCCGAACGACTCTCCATGACGGACTACCTGGCCAGCGTCATATCTCTAAGCTGCTCGACGTATATGTATATATTTTATACAAGGGAACTCACTCCTGAAAATAATCAATTCCACCGACCGCGCCGGAGAGGTCACCGGGTCGCTCGATATTGCGACCGCGCCATTTCGCCGCCGGAATCTCTTCGGTATGCAGGTGTGACAATATATAGATACGTGTCCTTTTCAACTGTAGTTTATATTTCGTTCTTGCTGGCTTTCCTCCTCTGTTCTCTATATGATTTTATGTATTATTATAATATATTATAAACATAGTTATATCATCAGGAATTCAACAAATGCATATATGGTATGCATATTAATAATTGTGTGATTTTGTATTGAGAAAGAGAAATATTAAAAAAGACAAGTCAAATAAAAATAATATCGTGAAAATTATTTTTTAATAAATTCTGCTAAGTAACATTTCAAAAAGACATTCTGACATTATTTGGAAGCATATATGTATAAACAATTCTTATGTATACATGTAATCTTCTATAATCAAAATGTTCTATAATCTTCTATATCTATATCTTTTACTTCAACTTTTATAATCACCAATTATAAAATCAATGATAAGATATAATCAAAACTTCTTAAAGCTAATAAAGTAGCATTTATTATAATAGTACAATATAGAAGATAATTCTAAAACAAATATATTTTATTTCCTTATTATTATTAGAGTTAAGTGATAGAAAAATAACAGAAAAATTAAAATAGAAAAAAGAAATTGAAAAAAAATAAATTACTAAAAGGATGAATTTTAAAAAATATAAATAATGTATTTGAAATATATATATACATTTAGAAAAATATATTTTGATGCATCTGTAAATGTATATACATTAATTATAAAAATATATATACACAGTTTTCGATGATATATATATTTTGTGGATTGGTGCAAAATTATTAAATTATAGGAGGGAACGATATGGATTTTACATTCCGACGTAATTTAGAACTTGACCTAGATTTTGCATATTGATATACAGAGTTCTATACTTGTAATTCTCTCTAAGAATTATAAATTTATATATATATATATATATATATATATACATTCTTTCCCGCCAAAGTTTGTCTCGAAATTATCGAATTATTGAATTATCGAAATATCGGAATTATCGATCTTTGAGTGATTCTCGTCGTGTGTTCTAGAGGTCTGCGCAAGCGATACGATGACAGCGCCGTCGTAGCCATTTTCCACCACGCGAAAGTAGCTCCATCAGGAAGGACCGGATTCTTTCTTTCTGTTTCCTTCCACCGCGACTCGTGTGAGGTGAGTGATATTCGTTAGAAATCGTGTTATATCCCAAACATCCTGAATTTGACGAGAATCAAGACGCGAGAAATTTGATCGCTGAATTTTCCACAATTCAAAATATTCTCACGTTTTCAATATATTTTTGTAGGAGCATTTATATCAGCTTTAGCGAAAATGCTAACCTCAAAGATTTATCTCATTAGATTTATGTATATATTAGAGACTATCGCTCTTGCAATTTTCAAAAACATTTCTCGAATAATAGTATAAATACTTTTATAGAAACGATTTATTTGTATAGAAAAAAAAAACGAAGTTCCAGCATCATGGTGCACTATTTAATGGTCTGTCGATCACCTCTGTGTAGAGTCCAGTATGGGCGCGTACAAGTATATGCAGGAGCTGTATCGCAAGAAGCAGAGCGATGTGCTTCGTTTTTTGCTGCGTATCAGATGCTGGCAATATCGCCAATTGACCAAGTTGCACCGTGCCCCCAGACCATCCCGACCTGATAAGGCTCGTCGTTTGGGCTACAAAGCAAAGCAAGGTAAATCATCCAATAGAATTATACTTTTAGGCTTGTGTAAAAATAATAAATTTGATTATTATGTAGTTGGGATTTTTGTTTTACACAAAGGCAATTGTATAATTTGTAATAAACTCATAATATCTGTTTCATATATATATAGTAAAGTTTTGTTCTCGATTCACTACTTTGTTATTTATGGCAATCATGGAGATATACAAGTTTGTCGAATTGTTTCTTTTTTTTAGATTTGGACATTTTATACTACACACTTCCTATCTTGTGAGGAATGGGTATGACTCCATGATTGCTGGTAAATTTTTATTTTCTACTCAAAGTCAGTCTTATAACTATATAATTATACTGAACTGCCTTTGTATTACAATATAAAGTTAGAACAAATTATTTTACGGAAGATTTGAATGATGATTTGGTTCATGCACCACTCTTATGTTTCATGAAGAGAAGGATACCATATTTACTGACATATTTAATTAATTAATTTATTTTATATAGATATAAATCATGGATGCAAAATAAACATAATATTTTATTTTTGCAATAGGTTTTGTTATCTTCAGAATTCGTGTGCGCCGTGGTGGACGCAAGCGTCCAGTTCCTAAGGGTGCAACTTACGGCAAGCCTAAAAGCCATGGTGTGAATCAACTGAAACCCACTAGGAAATTACAGTCAGTGGCTGAAGTAAGTTATTCAAATTCACACACACACACACACACACACACACACACACACATATATAAAGTTACATTTAAGACAATCTTAGAAATATTAAAATACATGATAAATTATAATGTGCACTATTCTCATGTTTAAATAGAATTTTCTAATTATGAGACATTTCTGATTACGACAGTCACAGAGAAACTTTTAAAATTTAATTGAATCAACATCAACACAACAAATTAATGTATTTCTAAAAATGATGATATATACTTTTTTTAATGAATAACATTGATTCATTTTCTTCCTTGGATGTCTGAAGTTGTCATTTATCTGAAGATTACTTTTTTTCTATTAGTATTTCTTATTAAATATTATTTCACAGGAACGTGTTGGTCGTCGTTGCGGTGGATTACGAGTGCTAAATAGCTACTGGGTGGCCCAAGACTCTTCGTACAAATACTATGAAGTGATTCTGATTGATCCTGCCCATAAGGTAATATTCAAAATGGACTTTATAATGCTAATATTCTTAAAATAATTATACACTACTATTCACTATTTTATTACAGTTAATATCTAATATTCTTTTTTATTCTTAATATATTTATATCACTAGTTCTCATTTTTAATTGACAATATGATGATTTTATATCACGAATGAATAATTGTGATTTTTTATCTTCCTTGGATGTCTGAGTAGAAAATAAATTTTGAAAACTAAGAATTTGTTTATTGTAAATAATTAACATCTTTTCTGCTCTCGTTTTAGGCAATCCGTAATGATCCTAAAGTAAATTGGATATGTAACGCAGTGCACAAGCACCGTGAACTTCGTGGTAAGACCTCCGCTGGTAGAAGCTCACGCGGATTGGGCAAAGGACATCGTTATTCGCAAACAATCGGTGGTTCGCGCCGTGCCGCTTGGAAACGACGAAATACGCTATCTCTTCGCAGAAAGCGATAATTATATTATTTGTAACCTCCACACAATGCAAGATACATCATTTTATTGTTACATATATCAATATTGTGACGTATCCTGTAAAAAAAATAAATATCTTTTTCTTTAAAATTGTAAAATTTTGATGTGCAAGTGTCATTAATTCCCATTTTTATCCTTTTCGAAACATTTTCAGTATATTCAGTTTTGTAATATTTTAATAGATTAGATTTGGTCTAAAAATAACAGAAGCAAGAGTGAAGTTTTTTTAAATAGATTTATTGATTATACGCGCGCACTTTTCAAAGAAATAATTCATTGCCCAGGTCCAGATAGTGATTTATCCATGAACTTCTTTTTTGCAAAACAGAGCCACCATTTACTTGGTTTTCCATCCTCGCCATATACCTTTTCAACAAGCCTAACAGCTGTTTCTTGTCTGATTTGATAAAGATATTGCCTCATAAGATCTATAAAATTACAAATATTCTATTAGTTAAAACTATAAGGAAGTTAATATTATTCTTCAATTTTATTCCATAATGATCCAGCAATACTTGCCAGCTTCAGCAGGACTGCTTGGTTTGGCATATACAGAATTCAAGGGAAAACCAGCATCGCCAGGGATATCAAATTTGGAAATAGCAAGAGAAAACATTTCATTCATAGCTTGTGGTTGCGTCGCACATTTTTGCAATTTCTTCAAGCATTCAGTGATAAATAGAGTAATATAGATTAAAACTCTATCAGCCTCGCACTGCAAAAAGACAGTTTCATATATATATATATATAGTTGTTTTATTTTATATAATGCAAAATGTTATTATTTCACGATATAAAGCATTACCTTAATTTCGTATGTCCTAAAAAATACATTTGCTTTAAAGAAATATAATGCCTCATCAATTATATCCTGTTCTTTGTTGTTAAAGGGAGGTGCAGGACCTCTGAACGTGGTCTTGATTGGTAACAGTGCCATATTTCCGATTGTGCCATCGCTTTTCGTGAAGCTCGAATGATACGCCTAGGATTTGAATAATATGTAAATAAAATGTGAATTATAATTATGTGTTAGTTTGTATGACTAATTCATTACTTAAAAATTCATCAAAATATATAACACACTTTCTTACTACAATAATTAATCTCCGCATATGTATTATTTATCAAATATACTTTATAAAATCTATACACAGATAATTTTCGAAATATTTAATGTAAATGTTAACACTGCAGATAAAAATTAAAGGAAAAATTTAAACTAAAATGAAGAAATAACATTGCACTATGGTTATGTTACTCGGGTAACGCCCTCGACAATTATATTTAACATAGACTGCTCGTTTTATTAAAGCAAAATATTATTACAAAAACTTACAGGCATGATGATGGTACAATAATTAGTTTCCTAAAGGATATTTTTGTCTATTGCAACGAGTGATACATCGGCTATGACATTACGGTATACGTCATACGTCAAACCATTGAGCACTGACACTGATAAGCGCTTGCTCTAAAGATGGCTAGACCTCCCATGTGATATTTTTAGATGCATTCCACTAGGTCTCTCTCTTCTAGCCCTTTATAATAAAAATTAATTAAGTGTTAAAATTATGATTGCTTATATACATTTATATTTTTTTCATATTTTATTATTTAGCATTATTAATCTAAAGCAGATTATATTTCTTATATGTGTCTTTTAATAGCCGAAAAATCATCTGAGACATTAAATCATTATTTTGCAAAAAAAATAGTATTTTTGCGAATATACAAACACCTATTAAAATGTGCTTAAATTCGTAATAAAACAAACTGATGCAGATTCATAAAAAATGTAAATATAAATATAATATAGGCAATAAAATATAACAATCAATTATATACAATTAATAAATTCATTACAATTGATTGAAGAAATTACAATTGATAAATAATTTGTTTATAATTGATAAAATTTATATAAGTAACGCATATTAAAGATAAAAAATAAATGCTATATATATTTGATCGAAAGAGATTTGATATTAATCAAATTTACAATTATTTCAAGTTACTAATTTCATATTTATACATGTTAATTACAAATCTAATTCGGAAGTCAATTTTAATTAATAATGCACAAAAGGCGAATCAAAATTTTTCATACAATATATATAAAAACCATTTTCATGTTCCCTATTTTATCATATTTTTTAAAAATTATAAGTTTATGAAAAGCGTTGTACAACAAAAATATTATGCATCATTAATCCAATTTATGTTGATTACAATATTTATAATTTATACCCTGTAATATTATGAAGATATCATTTGATTAAAACATTGAAACAATCTAATGTCTCCATCCATAATTAAACATATGTCAACACATAATTAAACAATTTAGTACTATTAGAGAGAGTATTATTGTACAATTTAACAATTTAAATTGTAATCTGTGAGCTTTATCATCTAAATCAACACTTTTATTGGAGAAAATCTATATAATTCATATATTTTTAACTTTTCTTGTAGAATGTTTTATTCATTCTTTTTATTTCTACAAAATTTAATATTGAATAATATCACTAGTTTCCTACTAAATTATTAAGTAGTAAAATCTTTAATTTTAAAAAAATCTATAATTGTATTATTTTTGCTAGGCACATTCTAATTGAGATAACAATTATTGAGATAATTATTGTATTGCACTTGTATAAAATAGCTTCTTTTGAATCAGATATAGTTTTAAATATATGATTTAAATTTAAGTCATATGTATATATATATACTTTTCTCTTCCTTAAATATTTCATTGCACTGTTTTATCTTGTAATTGATTGAATTGATCATTTTGATAAGTACATTTTTCCAAAACTAGATACATATTTTGATATGGATATGAACATGCTATACACAATTGATATAACAGTATGTAATTGACATCTCTCAGAGAGTGAGATTAATAAATTTGATAGCTAAATATTAATTATTAAAATAATAATAATCATTAATAAAAAATAAATCAATACGTATAGATCAAGTAAAAATTAATAATATATACATATTCCTTACACGCATACATACAATACACACAATATACACGTTGTGTATCTGTACTTTCTTATCCTACATAAAAATATAGTGGTATAAAAAGAAATAGTTCTCTCAACAAGTTGCATTTTCATCTTCATTTAACAAATGAATAATGAGTAATGAAATTTCACAGCAAAAGAATGATTCCGATGTCAAGAGGCGAATTTAGAAAGTGACAAGCGTCGATGATCGTTTGAAGAAATTTGTGGTACATCGTGAATTTTTCTCTCTGTGAAGCAAAGGTACACTCTCCGAATACTTATTGTAATCGCCATTCTTATGTCTATCGTATGTCAGGCATTTTTGCAATGTAGTCTGTTGTTTGACACGATGAAACGGTTGCAGATTTTTGTACACCTGTCTATACCTATCTTGCACTGCCAACTCGTATTTCTGTTCTACGACGAAGGTAAGCGACGAACCATTTTCTCTCATCTTCCCTACAAAATTTAATAATTACACAAATAGAATCTTGCACAGATTATAATTAAATATCGGGAAGCGTAAGGCGAAAGCAACATGTTCTTTAGCTAATTATTAGTATGCACAATTGAAAAAAAAAAAAAATAAAACAAAATTGATAACATTATTTTGTTGTAAGAAAAATATCTTATGATACATTCAATATTCTAAAACAAACCGTTCAATCAAAAACGATAATCTAATGACATACAAACGTTAACTCCTTCGTTCTGGCTATTATACAAAACACAGCACATTAAAAATGATAGAGTTGATGATATATAGGTACCTGTTCTACCAACCATTCTGGCAATCCGTTTTCCTCGAAGCGTTCTCCGGAACCGGAGATTCATCTGAACTTCTATCATCTTTAACGCACCTTACTAAGAACATTGTTAACGCACCCACAATCGGAGGAATGCCGGCTAACAGGAAAGGTAGATCATAGGTACCTGGAATATAACATAATTTATTAATTTTATTAATTATTCATTTTTGAAAAAATGTATAATATAAAATTGCAGAGAAAAAATAATTTTAAAGAACGTTACCAGTATGATCGTACAAAAGTCCCGCGATTGGTGGACCAACTGTTAAAGGTATAGAGCACATTCCTAAAAGAAAGCCAATGGCTTGAGTAGCACCGCTGCGACCGCAGATATCGAACACGATGGGTCCAAGTAATGATATAAAGCATCCATCGAATAGTCCCATGCCTAATGAGATAATCAGGAGCACGAGGAAGGATTTAGTGACCGGAAGAAGCATCGTGAGGATGCCGATACTTACAAATGATATCTAAAAAAGAAAAGTTTCTTATCTTATCAGATGTCTAATAAAAAAAGGAAAATGTAGCGTAGAATAATTTTTCGCTTATATCTTACTTGTTGTAACAAGATTCGGTTCACTTTTGGCAAGTCAGCAATGTAACCGAAAATTAAACGGCCGATACCGGAAGTGATACCGATGCACATAACCGGTAGTTTGCTATCGGCATCCTTGAACGTCATAGACACAAATTTTCCTATGTGGACATAGGGGACGAAATAACTGCAATAAAACACATAATCGATAGTTTTAATATCTGTAAAATATAGATTCATATAGAAAATCAAGCTTTTTTAATTAAATAAAAAAGAATATAATTGTGCGATAAAAAAACAAATAATATTCACATTAAAGAATAAAATTATGAAAAAAGATTAACAATTAATGTAGTTGAATTATTTAAAATCTCACTTCAGACAATTTTTGCAGGCAAAAGTAATCGCATAGCGATTACAGTTTGTGATTATAGTAATTTATTGGAATTATCTATTTGGGTTTAATCTTCACAACTCAAGACGTTATTTATATATCATGAACTGCGATAAACCGAGAACGTACTTAATTCATATGGTGACGTAATTGGAACTAAGCATAATGATTATGTGAACAATCAACTCACCCAAAAAGAGCAACAGGAATAGAGACAGCCCATACAACATATCGTTTTTTCTTCCAAATAGATACGTTTACGAATTCTTTTACATTATTTCGTAACGATTTTCTCTTTTTTTGCGATTCATCTTCCTGTGGTATAATTACTGAAAAAAAATGTTTGTTGATTTTTGCCATTCTCATTACACACACACACACACACATCACAGTTAATAATAAATTATGAATCTTAATCTACTTATAAATATAATAAAAACTGTACAATATCGCATTATAATAAAAAATCTCTTTCGCGCACATATTTAATTTTAAAAGCAACTAAAGATGAAGCATTTTTGCAAGTTTCACAGAAATATGACAATTCTCAAAATTAATCGCAAACACTTGCGAACTTGAAAGGAAGCTTACATGGTATCGGCTTAAAAAGAATCGCGCAAGCCATGATGATGGCCGTGAGACCGGCCAGGCTTCTCAGTGTTCCTTCCAGACCTAAACGCCGTAACAGGTATTCCATCAGAGTCGGAATAAGCGTCGTGAATACGGAACTTCCGGCTGTAACGATGCCGTTCACCAGGCCTAAGTATTTCTTGAAGTAGTGACCCAATATAGCCAAGCTTGGGGTGTAAGCGAGACTCGCACCAAGCCCGTACATAACGCCGTATGTTAAATAGAGCAGTTCCACCTGATAAACATAAAGCAGAGTGCACATTCCCATTTTACAAACGAGTTACGAAAATCACGAAATGAGACAAAATTAATCAGAGTATTTTATTTTTCTATTACCTTATCTGTTAATAGCGAGGAAAGAAGCAGGCCAACAGATGCGATCGCACCTCCTACAAAGGTGGTTATTTGGATGCCGAATTTATCCGTCAGCATACCGGCGATCGGCGACAGGAAGAATGTGATTCCAATAGTTAATGAGCCAACCAAAGCTAAAATCACATTTTATTTTACATTAATTAATAGATATAATAAATCGTCTAGGGTTAATTTGACGATAATTTTTTTCGGTAAAAAAATGTCAAGATATTATTTTGCATTTCTTTACATTATTAATTTATCTCTGAACTTTGCAATTTGGCATAAATTCTACTCTTTTGCAATTAGTTACTTTTTAAATTTAAAAATTCATCTATTTGAGTAAAAAACGTATATTTATATCAAAATTCGTCGGCGTGTCTTATCATATTTCATTTCATAAATAATTAAGGACTGATATTCTGAGACAATAAACATCCGGCAATATAATCGATGAGTAAACGATTATGTCAATTAGAGATCGCGAACGATGCACGTTGCAAATTAATAACGCGTATCTAGGTCGGCGTTTTATGAATTAATTTTTTTTTTCGACATGAGACCGATTAAGTTGTTTAAGCAGCACATCAGCAAGTAGTATGAATTAACCCCTATTACTATAAATGAGTATCTAATTGCCGGACAATTTAGATCCTGGACCTTTAAGGGCATTTACCATTACCATATAAACATTTAATTTCGTCGGTGGACTTTAATTTAGTGAACAATTCTTCCTTTCGCGATACAGATTTAACAAGTAGATTTAACATGGCAAGGAGAAAAAAGCAAGTATATTATAATAATTTATAATAATAATAATAACAACGAAAGACGTTTGTGTAATCGATATAGCATTATCGAAATAGACAAACGGATCTGCAAGTGTAAAGTATTCAGATAATGAGGTTCATCGAACCACATGTGATATCTCCTCGACTATCCAAGCGCCATCGTTTCAAAAAACTGCGATATAATTATGAGATGTAATTAAGTTCCCGCCGACGACATAAATTGTCAATTGTCAATTCTCGAGAAATGCGAAATGATATCTGAATCAATACATATATACATATACACACAAGAGTATGTATAATTAGAATTATTTTTTAAACTTCGAAACACATACCTACATTACGTATATTCATGTATGTATTCTTGTTATACAGGATGTTCCATAGAAAATTGCTGAAACTAATCAGCTGTCATTTTTTAATGCATGCAGTTATTGAGAAAACAAAAACTGTGTTGGACAGAGGAAAGTCTGCAGTTTTTAATGGATATAAATAAAATATTTGTATAATAGTTTATTTTATTGATAAAAAATAATGAAAAAAGTGCTAATAATTACATAAAATCACATAAACTAATGATAAATATTTTCAACAGTGCCAGATTTAATAGCAGCTATTAAAAGGATCATCAATAACATTAAAAATGACATATTAGGAAAAGTTTTTACGAGTTTTCGTAAAAGAATAGAATTTTGTACCAATTCAAATGGTGCGCACTTCAAAAATATTTATCATTAATTTACATATGTGATTATTAGCATTATTTTCATTACTTTTTTTCAATAAAATAAACTGATATACAAGCATTTTATCCATTAAAAATTGTAATCGGATATAAGCGGTACTTTCAAATATATATAATATGAAAAATATAATAAGAATTATTATTCTTAGTTCAAATGTGACTAAGTTTGTTTTTACCATATGCAATTTTTAAAACAAGAATATATCTTAAGGATAAAATATACTTAACACAAACTTATTTATTATTAAGGCAAATGAAAATGTGTGATTACAAAGAGCATTCTATGCTTAAATCAATCAAATAGCGTTCAAGAATACTATAAAAATATACTTGAATCAAGGATTCCTTTTTTTCTGTGTTAAAAGATGACAGCTGATCAGTTTCAGCAATTTTCTATGAGACACCTGTACATATTTGAAAATTATGCACAATTGTTTCGCAATTTTAAAACTTGTTTGACTCTTGAAAAATATTGATCGTCTTTTATCGAATAACAATTAAAATATAAATATTTATCCAATATATTATCAATTGCATATATAATTCAAGAATTAACATCAAATATTGAATATGAATGTTCAAAACAATCGAAACATTACCATGTAAAAATTCTGACATATTAAATATAATATAATTTAATAAAAATATCATCATAATTGTTCGAATTTGTTATTAAAGCACAAATCATAGCACATTTTTATTGGAATTAAGCATATTTGTGATAATTTTATCATTGAATAAACACTTTGATTTGAGCAATAAATAATCATAATCTAAGCAAATATGAAGCAAAGAGTAATACAATAGGATCTTTAATAACTAATAAAAAAATTCAGTTTAATCTCTTAAAAATACGCGCGCGCATATGTATTATGTTTGTACAACTTCTTTACGACTCCGATATTAATTTTTCGAAGAATTGTTTTTCTGATTAAATAATTAATTAACTTTTCAAAGCAGAAATGTTATAATAAAACATATATGTATAATGTGATTCATTTTTATATCATATAATAAAAGATTATAATTAAAATTTATCTTTAAAAGATTAAGCTATAGAAGAGAATGAAAAATAATGCAAAAACATGAAATTAAACAATAATTTGATGCATCTTTACAAAATAGGAAAAAAAACAAAAAAAGATTAATAATACCCTATCATTCTTATCATTTTGGTTAATATTGCATCAATCTATATCGCACCTGCTTTGGAGGATACTTCGGTCTCACCAGCTTCCGTGAGTCGTTTCTGCAGCTCCGGATAGATGAGGGAATACGTGTTGATGATGCTGAAGAGCACGCCGTTGATCGTGAAGCTGCCGATCATGATCATCCAGGCCCTGAGGCCGCCATCGGGCGGTCCAACGTTCATGTTGCTCGACTCAGTAACGAAATCCTCATCAGACTCTTTTCGACGTGCCGCGTTCATCGTGTCCTCAGCCTTGTGCATCCTTCTCGGCTTCCCGATCGACTCATCGATCGTTACTGCCGCGCTCTCGGCTAAAAGGGGGTTGCCCTCACTCGAATCGGAACTGTCGGGGTCGGTCTGACGAGGCTGCACGTGGCTCGCCGGGCCGATTGGATCATTCGCGGCTGTGCAATCGATGCTTCGGATTGACGCAGTGGCATTGTTTGGTGAAGCAAAGCTGCCGACGTCCCCGCGATCGGTTCCCTCATCGATCGTCATCGTTATCGACAATTATATTCGTTGATTACTACTGACGCTGCTCTTTCAGAAGATACCTGTAAACTTGAGATAAAAATATTGTTAACAGACTATTATATGTTATCAGAGCATATTATCGGATCATCGTTTTACTTTTTTATTTTATGGAACTTAAATATATATAATAATAGCTTAAATAAATAAGTCATCTGATAAGCTATGCTAAATAATACAAGAAATTTATTTTATAATCTTCTTCATTTCAGAATTTTTTGAACTTTTTGATTGCTTTATTTAGAATAATTTATAAAACTTAACTTTTCTTAACTTTTCTTAACGTTTCTTAACTTTTTAAGAAGTTTACTTAAAAAATTCATAATTTTAGGTGAAAAAATACAATAATTCTAAATAATGAATAATCTGATGCATGCATATATTGACGTGTCAATAGCACTAAAAATTATTTATAAAGAACATACTTTTTTCTGTTATATCAATTTTTTGCATATGCACTTATCAATATGTTCGATGACAGTTTTCACATTTTAGAAATGAATTTCGATCAAGTGCATAAAAAATATGAACGTAAAATTATAAATGCATATTATTGATAAAAAAATTGCGGCATTTTTTTATGAGTTTAGGAATATGAATTTGTCAAAAATAATTGTATCGAAAGGAGAGAAAAAAATATCAAAAACTTTTCCATCACGAATATACATACATGACACACAAATATGCAATGCTATATCTGATGCACCGTATCATGCGTTACACAAAAGTCTGCAATGTAAGCTTGATGAGTCTTTGAAGCTGGAGAATGGAGCTCCAAAGACTGCACAACTTAACCATTTAACTAACTACGATCTAGCAGATCTCGGTATCAAGAGACACCGTGTTGTAGTGTCTCGCACCAAGTCACGCGCAGCATCATCGAAGCGGATCTATAAGCCTCCGAGAGCTGCAAGTATCTTAGATTATCGGATTTCAATCACGATGGCTGGATTCGATCGAGTAGATTCAACTGATAATACATATAGCGAAATAATGAAGGAATCAGTCATAAAAAGGTTCCTTTTTTTAATCGTAGAGCATGCTTGTGCAAATTCTATTAGTGTTTCACTTGCAGATATATTCTTTGTTGGTTTTAACAATAATAGTGCAATGTTCACCGAGATTCGATGACTTGTAAGAGAAGAATGCAAGTACAGGCAAGATTGTGTGTCTCTTGTTTTTAATGCTTATTTGTTATACATTTTTTCATTCTAAATTGCGTATGGCAACTAAATAAATAACTGAACCAAGAAGCTGAAGAATTTTTCTCAAGGTAAAATCATATTTATAATTATTTCAGTTATTCAGTTATTCAGCTGTTACGTAATTTAAAAGTAAAATATTGACAGCCAATAAAATGACAAATAAAAAGCAGAGTTAAATGATTTGTTCTTATCGCAATAAATGTTATACCACTTTTTATTTTGCTCTTACAAATTATCCGCTTGTCAATATTACATACAAATATATTTTATAATTGGAATAATAATAAAAAAAGATATTACATCAATGTGTAAATATGTATCAATAAATTTTAATTACTTAAATAATCAAATAATTATCAAATTAATGGATTTCTTAATATTAATAATAATTAAATGCTCAGTTGACATATAATAAAATTATCAGTTTATATTTTTTATTCGTTTATTAAAATGGATTATAAATTAAATTGCTTTTTGACATAATATTTAAATTTAATAAAAAAATATAAATAAAATTAATGAACAAATAATATTTAAAATTATTGCGTGTAAACAAATTAATTTTTAAAAATAAATTGAAAACATTAAATTAATTTAGCAGGTTAATGACCATGAATTATTAATTATTGATGAGTTGATTTTTCCTTATTACAATATACGTATGCGTAAATATCATTTCGAAATGTTGCTCCTCAAGTAAAGTTTAACTTTATTACCACATTTTAACCGCAGTAATGTGCACCGTTTTACATTTCAACTGAAATAATCATTTGCTGACCATGAGATATGCGATATGAGATATAACTTATATATTACGGAAATTCTTTGCATAATATTTATTTTATTGAACATTCAAAATATTTTTCGTATTTTTCATTATATATTATATATCTCTATTAACATCGTGATATGATAAAATTTGTTAAATTTAAATTTTTAACAAGAATCACTGTTCTAAACCTTAGAATTGCGAAGCTTTGCGCAATATTTTATATAGTATATTATATATTCATCATGATTATTCAACTTGACACGACTTCATATATTATCTTCGCGCGTGCGAGTCAAACGTTTAATAGTCTTCAACAATTTAATAATCTTTCTATATCGTATAAATCATCGAACACTGTTTCGTGGTGTTCTTTTACGCACTTCAAAAAAATTAAAACTGAAACAATTTTTTCTTTTTTCCTAGGTTCTTGTAATTGCAACAATTAAAAATGTAATGGAAAAATTTAATAGAAGACAATATTAATAATAAATAATGAAGCACATTTACAAATAAATTTGAGAATTTGAACAGTTATTAAAAAATTAATGTTAATATCTCGTCAATGTAGGCATATTGATGTACGATGGACATGTAAGATATTTCATGAATGATGTGTTTATTGGATGCGATAAAAGAGAAGGCAAAAGTTATCTTGACGAGAGAATAAAGCGATTATTTATAGAATAAATTATTTTAAAGAACACATTTTTCAAAAAAGAAAAAATATTAAATCTCGAAAAATTAATTCATTACAATCATTATTTTATTTAATTTTTTACACGAGAAAATTTTATTCGATCTAATTCATTCTTTTCCAAAAATTGATTGTACTTTTATATATACATATATATTTTTGCATGAAACATATTATGTGTTATAATAAAATGTTATGAGAGAACCAAATTTAATAAATCTTATAAAAACACTTAAGTATATAATTGTAATAATAAGAAAAATTCAGAATTAATTAATTAAATGTTCTCAATTTCGTTTTAAAAATTAATTTATTCATACACTATAATTTTAAACATTATTTTAAAAATTAATGTAATCCATAATTTTGATTAATTAATATAAAAGATGTAACATAATAATTATATTATATAAAGAATTGTTAGTTGGTTTGATAGATTTTTGAGATCTTTCAAGATTTTCTAATGTTATATAAAATTAATTTTTTTGGGCATGCATAATTAATAATTTTTCTATTTATATAATTTATTAAATACTCCATTAATTAGCTGATTTATTGAAGACATGAGCACATATGTCAAGTGAATAGCAGTATGTCAAATTATTATTTAATACAGATCTATATTTTTAGAGATAACTTCGTGTAACGCGACAACATTTGCATATATCAGAACAAATACATAATTTTTAATTACTTATCGCCCATAAGTGTAAAAATAACCGTTAATAAGATTATAAGTATACAACATATTCTTTTTATCAATAAGACTCAGTGTTCGAAAATTATAAAAGATTAGGGAGCGTCACGTTTCCGATCGCGAATTATGCATACAAAAAAGATAATCTTTTAATACGATTTTATATATACTTAAAATTTGATTTTTTTCTAAGCTATAAAAAATCGTCATATCAAGGTATATCCTATAGATATTTATGTCTATGTTATAAGTATATCAAGCTATTGCATCAGCCTATATAAAGGATGAACATCACGTGGTCAAACAATCATCAAACACACAAACGCCAACACGTATATTCGTGTCAAGATATTCGTATATGACCACCTGAAAATTTTTTTGACCTTGTGTCTGGACGAAATTACGCTTCATTAACGAAATACGTTCTTAGAATCAGAAGACCTCACGAAACTTCACGAAACATTCCTTTAATAATTCTCACACATGCTGCATACTAGTATATAGTTTATTTTTTATATCTGCATATTATATATTATAATTATTCTAGACAACTTAGATTTGGAGAATTATGTTTAAAAGCGAGAAAATAATTTAAATATATGAATTTTTTTTCTTTTTCATTTACATACTTCTTTCATTATCTATTGTAAGAAGACGATACGGAGCTATCTGAATTTTGAATATACATTGAATTATATAAATATCAACCAGATAGGCCTGATGATTCAGCGTCCAAAATCATGTGTCCAAGAAAAGCTTGTATACAAAAGGCCGAGTTTCGTTTTGGCGTGAGGCCAATCCTCGAACGGATATCAAGTTCTAAAGTTAAGAGATTCTTGCTAAGCTGACAATGAGTTATACACATTTCCAGTAACAATACAGAATGGCAAAGATGCCTCATCAGTCTACAAATATATTCGATTCAAAATTATTCTCAGAAAAATTCCGAATATCTTATCTGACAAAAAATTAACATCGTCCCTTCATTTATTCCGCGAAATACATAATTTTTCTACGAATCTTTTTTGTATTCCTTTTTATATGAAACTTATCTTTCTATAATATTTTTGAAAAATTGTTAGCAAAATATAGCATATAATTTTTAATCAAATTAACTCTACATTCATTAATTTAATTCTAAAATTTTAATCGAGAGGCTCTCGCTGCTCGCTTATAGCACGTGGAAGGAATGCACGCACGCGGGCCGGAAATAAAGTATGTATATATAAGAGAGTGTGGTGGCTGAAGATTACCCGGTTCAGACGATCCTCGAGCGTGGCAGCGGGTGCATCATATACCTGACGATTCGTAAACTTCAGCGGAATCGCGTCGACTCCGAAGAGGAGAGACGGGATCGGCGAGAGAGAGAGGAAAAAAGGAGAGATAGAGAAAGAGAGAGAGAAGAAAAGGGAAAAAATCGCCCGACTAATCGCCCTCGAGGACCGACCGACCGATCGCGCAGCCGGACAAAAACTAAGTAAGGAGGCGACCGACCGATGTTCGGCCGAGGACGGGAGCGAAGAGAGGTCGAAAGTTCTGAAGAGAGAACCAGGCTCTAATGCGCGTGAAGAGAGAACAAGAGAGGAAGCAAGACGGAGGATCAGAATGCGCGAGAATGGAGGAGGGGAAGATGAAGGCGGGCACCGAGATAAGCCGGCGTGAATAGACATCGGTCGGCGACATGTGAAATGTGCGTGAATTTGGCTTGCGAGATGAGTCGCCGCGTATTTCTATATCTACTCGACGCGTTTTCACGCAGCGCATCGGCGTGCTTTCCGCTGCACCAAAAACATGCAGGAAAGCGGAACGTCAGGAAAGATATGTAAAGAGGATGACAGAATGCATGTGACAGACAGCCATGTGATAAAAAAATCTCCAACAATTCTGATCGCGATATATTTATACTGATTTAATTCTAAAATTCAGAAGCCGATTGGATCTGTCAATTTTCAATGCAAATAACTCTGACAAAAGCCCCTCAAAAATGCATTAAAAAAGATATGCGTAATAAATTGTACTTTAATTTTTTTCATTCTAAGATATTGGCACATGAATTATAAAGAAAAGATTATTATTTGTTATGTCTGCAATTTCAAAAATTAAGATTTAAAATACCACTGGAAAACATGACTAAATTAATACATATTTAGTTCAATACTACCAAATAAATCACTTATTTGAAACATAAATATTTATTTATTTTGAAAAGGATTTTCTTATATCAAATAAATATTATTAGTTTCAAATAAATGATTTATTTGGCAGTACTGAAATAAATATTTATAAGAATTAACTAAATTTTTTTTCTGTATATTGATATTAATTATTAGAAGACATTACTGTAGAAGAATTATTATAAAAGACATTATTATATAAAAGAATTTAGAAACATAAATATATTTTTCAAAAGTTTTTAAATGATGATTCTTATTGTCTGCAAATTTATAATAATGTGAAATAATAATAATATAATACATATAATATTTATTAATTCATTATTTAGATATTTAATATAAACTCATAATATTTAAATGTGAAAAATTAACAAATATTTTTAAAATAGGAACGATGTATTTAATTCGACCCAAACTAGCCAAAAAATTTTTATTTGATTTCCACGTTTCAACCATCTGTTTTTGGTCCTTTTCAAGTGAAACGTTTCGACCATCTGTTTTTGATTTTTTTCAAGTGAAACGTTTCGACCATCTGTTTTTGGTCCTTTTCAGTTTTTTGACGATCCATCATAACGATAAGATGCGGTTACTTTCTTTCAAAAGTTATTTCAAATGTTTTTAAAAAATTCGGATAATCATATTGTTTAATAATCATGACAACAGTGTCAACTAACTGCGCTTTTATCAAGTATGTAAAAAAAAAATTTTTAATTCTTGCGTTTAACGTCAAAAATGTTTATTAATTTTAATTAATTGTACCATTATAGTTTTTCACTTGAAAAGGACCAAAAACAGATGGTCGAAACGTTGTGGAAATAAAATAAAAATTTTTTGGCTAGTTTGGGTCGAATTAAATATATCGTTCCTATTTTAAATATCACTAGCGACGTTTTAAGTATTCAATTTGAAATATTTTTAAGTTCTTATTTTCTTGTCAATTATACTTTTCATATATTTTTCTTTTATATAAAAGTATAAATGAAAAGACAAAATTATATTGATATTATCAACTGTATTGCAAATTTTTGTCTTGTATTTTTCAAAATTTGTGTGTAAATCTTTAACCCAACTCATGAACTTTTAATATTAATAAGAAGGAAAATATAGATTGAAAATTTACATATTTTTTAATCTGCTTCTAAAAAATCCTATTCGTTTATTTATATTAATTTATATGTTGCTCTATAATGATATAAGACTCAGGAAATGCATTCTAGATCAAAATTGGATAATTAATTGTTGGTGCAAAAAAAAGTTTGAGAACAAAAATGCATATATATATTATTACTATATTTAATAATTTATATTAATCAAGATATTTAAATCCCACTTATGCTTTAGATACATACATAATATGTATACTATATATTACTTTCATTTAGAGAATTTTTTAAATGAATCCTTTTTTTAATGTTAAATCAACAATTTCACTTAATAATAATATTTAATAATAACTTTATAATATACAATAAACTATTATGTGCTGCACATATGTGTATACGCATGCGTGTATATATATGTATGTATGTGTATGCACACTCTGATATTTCATATATCGTTGAAAATAAATTTAATAAAAGAATACTGGGCGAAATTTCACACATATGACATGTTTGCACAATTTTAAGCAGTCTAATTAGTTATAAAAAATATATATCTATCAATAATTGATTATGAACCCGAAAATTCGGTCGGAATTTTTGGACGAAATGCTTTATCATACCTAACTGAACGTGACTCGTAAGATTTGACTGACTGACCTACTGACTTTGAAAGACACCGATTAAGATTCTATGAGCCATGCGATGGTGCTATCGATTGTCACGTACCACGAGGAACGTATGGGGTTAATCTTCATATTACACGACCGATTTCACTTTGCCACGAGGAGCTGATTTGGTTATGCCTTAGCCAACAACTTATGACGTATTGTCGACGTAATGCTCGCAAACGGTGATAAGATAATCGATCAAGTGACATGCGCCGGCTACGTAAAGAAAAAAAGGAAGAAAAAATTGCTGCCTTGTGTCGCACGAGCTCTTGTGTGTATTTCTTTCTCTATTGTGTTCTTCAACATTTTAGAGAACACGCTCTCGGAGCACATCAGAGCACGTTACATAACAATCCGCATGAACCATGCAAACGGATAGATGCAGAACACCATAAGCAATTAAGGAATCCAGTTTCCATTGATTGAACGATCATTGCAATGATTAAAAAATAATTAATCGATTTTGTGATCGCGAAAACATCTTTACCTTTTATTAAAGAATAAAAAATAAATTATAATAATATATTAATATATATATATATATATATATATATATATATATATATATATATTTACCTATTTTAATTAATAATAATTAATATTAATATATATACATACTTATATATATATATATATATATATATATATATATATATATTAATTAATTAATTAATTAAAATAGGTAAATTTATAGTTTATATATATGCTCTGTCAGTTAGGACAAAAAATTTTTCAGAGAATATTCTATGTGATTGTTCAACTAAAATGTAAACTGTTAATTTATCAAAAAATTGACAAATTCGATTTACTTACTTAAAGTATATGCAGCGTCTTCATCTTCATCTTCCTCATCGATTCCTCTTCTATTTTCTTCTTTATCACTTTTTTGGCTGAATTTCTTATAATTGTGAATTAAACAAGATGGATTGCACAAAATAATATTTCGTCATATATTCTGTAGACTCGCTCGAAGCCAATTTTTCTAGGATCAATTCTTACAATTAGTTATTTAATTGATCTTTTGATCCTCAAATCTTCGTAGTCGATGCTGCCTGTTCTTTCGTTTCCGAAGATTCACTTATTATTTCTGTTTTATTTAGGATGACAGCTGACTTCTCATCGAGCATCAATGTTGATCGTCTAGAAGATTCTTGATAAATAATCGAAGGCCCGACAACATTTTTTCCATCTTCGTGACCAAACACGTCCCAACGAACTAATTCCCACAACTTCGATCTGTACATCTTGATCCTTTCACGAATTCGTTGAAGACGAACTGATGGTTGATCGACTATCAAAATACTCTTCCTTTCCAGAATTTCAAACTATCTTCTTTAAGAGCATCCAGCACTTGTGGCGACATCTTCAGTTAACTCTATCGAAACTCTTGGACAATTATTACGATGTTTTACCAACCGAGTGGGACATGTTGGTCATCCACGTTACATGCGAGGTTAGATTTGGCACTCGATGGCTGATCAAAGTGTATCAGCTACGTTTCTTTAAAGTGACAAATTAAATGATATAAAAACAGAAAAATGTCTAGCGTGGATTGGGAAGAAGTTAAAAGGCTGGCCGCCGATTTCCAGAAGGCACAGCTCAGCTCCACTTTACAAAAGTATGACACATCTGATTTTTACTCCACAATATGGATCTGTCAATCTCATTTCGGCTTCAATAATTTCTGATAACTGTAAAATAGTTGTAAATAATATAGTATAGTTTCCGTGTACAAATCAATTATTAAAATTACAGATGCTTTTTGTTATACGATTGTTATCTTGCATACAGTTTTGCATAATAGTTCATGAAAATTTTAAGCAAGTTTAAACATATGGAATGTTATTGACAGTAATATATTGACAATTATTTTTATATATTAAATATGTGATTTAAAAAAAATTGATTTTATTATCAGATATTGCAATATTAAAAACAAAACTTGAGAGAATTTTTCAATTAAATTCATTATATATGTTAAGGTAATATTTATCATCTTTTACAGTAATCTAATATAATTAAATTTTTATTACAGACTTTCTGAACGAAATTGTGTAGAGATTATAACAACATTGATAGAAAACAAGCTTTTGGATGTTATATTTACCAATGATGGTAAAGAATACGTAACTCCCCAGCATCTTGGAAAAGAAATCAAAGATGAACTGTACGTTCATGGTGGAAAAGTTAGTTTAGTCGACCTAGCACAAATTCTTAATGTTAATTTATCACAAGTAACTAAAGTAGTAACGGAAATTGAAAAACACAATAAAGGATTGAAAGTAATATTGGGACAACTGATTGATAGGAGTTACATAAATAAAATTGCAGAAGAAATCAATGACAAACTCGTACAACATGGTTGCATTAATGTGGCCGAATTAACACTTACTTATAATTTACCAGCTGAATTCTTACAATCAGTTATCGAAAAAGAACTGGGAAAGATAATACACGCCACACAAGATTATCAAGATTCTAAGATTTTTTATACTGAAAGCTTTATCGCTAAAAATAGGGCAAAAATTAGAGGTGCTTTGTCTGCTGTTACAAAACCTACACCACTATCTGCAATATTAGGTCAATGTGGTGTTCCAGAAAGGATATTTTTCTGTAAGTTTAAAAATACATACAAGATGTTATAAAAGAATAATCACACACACAATAGTTTTCTAACATTTTACATAATGAGAGTTTTGTTTCTATATTGTCAAATATTATGTTATAACATATTAGGCAATTAATATTAATAGAAACGAATTAATTTATGTTTGTCTATTACTGAGTATTCATCTTTCTAATATTTACACATTTTCTACTTATTATTTTATAGCTATTTTGGATGGTTTGCAAGAAGTAAAACAGGTGCCTGGAGTTGTAACTGGGAAACAGAGTGGAAATAGCATTTACATACCCACTATATATTCTAAAAGTCAGAATGAATGGGTTGAAAACTTTTATAAGCAGAATGGATATTTAGGTAAAACATATATATAATTTAGAACAAGTTTTAGGGAATTTATAAATATCTGTTAATCTAATTATTCCTTTTTTTTAGAATATGATGCGCTTACAAGACTTGGGATATCAGACCCAACAGGATTTATAAAACGTCATTTTCCAAACGAGAACATGATTTATTTAAAATCAGTAGCTGCAGGAACAACAGTAATGGATCAAGTTGATGCTAATATCGAAGAAATCGTTGCGACCGAGTCTTTCGTTGACCTGTATCCTCTTTTACCATCTGTATTTAGCGACGAGGATGCGGAAATTCTTCTAAAATTAGCTACAAAGAAGACAAAGACCAATGTGCACATATTTGCAAAAACAGTTGCAGTTTCTGATGCATTCTTACAGATTTTAACTAAATCTCTTGAAACAGTAGCAGAACAAAAGGCTCGAGAAGTGGTAGCTAATGGAAAATGGATTCAATCAATTGCTGAAAATAAATTAAAATCAAAATCTGCGGATCTAATAATTGAGAACAAAATGAATAAAAAGAGGAACGAAGAAAAAAGGCAGTTGTTGGAAAAGTAGGTGGCGGTAGCCAAGGCAGGGAAACCAGGACAAAGTCTACGAAGAAGAAGTATCTTCATGGAAGAATACAAGAAAATGAATCCGATGAAGATGAGACGAGGCAAACATCATCGGTAGGAAAAGGCGAGATTATATTAATAGCCCTGGAAGAAGTGAAAACTATAGTTATGAAAGATGAGAACATATCCGTAATAGAAGAATTGGCGGATGAATTAGCGCATCACCTACAACCAAAAGTGAATAAATCTGCGTTATCGTTGGCAGAGCAATTTGCGCAATCCAGTAAGACCACGAATCTAAGCGAGATTAGCGAACGCTTAAATGTTCTAATAACGAATATTCGAATATTCGACAAGGGCATTAAACACTTGGATAAAGGAGATCAAGCCCCACTGACCAAATATTTGCTCAAATCGCTAGGTCTCGATTTCGTGACGAGTCTATTCAAATTGGCTGCTCAACAGAATATGTTACAAGTGCCAGAAAATCTTACGACAGAGACGAGACAAAGACTTTTGCTCGAATTGCCTGCTGACGTTAAAGAACCATTAACCACTATTCACAAAGCAGTAATGGGAGATTCCGTGGAAGATTTTTTGAATACTGTTGATGGGGCGTTGGCAGCTTGCTGTTTGGTCCTGAAGAAGTATGACAAGAAAAAGAGCGACCGCAAGTGCACGCTCACAGAGAAGCTCTGTTGGAAGAACTAAACACCACGCAAGATCCCGCGTTAGCATTGCACCTAGTTACTAGTGTGCTCTTCACTGCTGTCACACAAAATGCCTTACACATGTCTGGCAGACATGTAACAACTGTTCTCGCATTTCTCCAGAAGCAATTAGAGCATGATACAATATTGATTCTTTCCAAATACCATGGTATGTAATAATCTATGAAATAATTTAAAAAGAGATTTTTTTTCTTTATAATAAATCTAGTTAAAAAAAATTGTTTTCTTACAGATTTAGTACTCGACTTACTAAGCACTTCTGACGAAAATATAAAAATGGAGGCTTCCAGAGCCTTGGAAGAAGGATTAACAGATATAAAAAGTATTGCCAATAATTTCAAGCAACATGTGAAAACAGACAAGTCTTAGAGAGAGATTATGGCCGATTGTATATATAAATAATATAAAATAATTTAGATTCATTAAAACTTATACTGATCTTATACTGACATTTGTATAACATAATTATATATATATATATAATAATGTATTTTATGACAAAATATAGAGAACATATATTAGCAATTTAAAAAAGTCAATCTTACACAAACAGATCGTGATAACTAATTTATTGATATTGTGAAGTTTTCACTATGTTCAATAAATGCATTTGTTTTATTACAAAATTCTCCTAGTACTTATCTTGTGGTAAAACTTCATTTTTTATCATTTTTACAGTCAGTTCAATAATAGATGTGAATTGTAACTAGATATACACTGACGAACTTATCTATGTATGTACATAATTTTGTATATGTATAACTTAGAAGACACTTGATCGTCATTCTGATATATACAGATAAATATCACAAATGTAGTTCTTGTAACATAGGGTTACAAAGTCGCTAAGATTCGTGTGAATCCAACACATACTGGTACCACAGTCTGTCCGATACCCCAAAACAATGCGTACAAAGGAGGCATTTGGTAACCCGATGCTCTGTACACAAAGGCAACTGCCGCCGAACTAACAACACCCGATGTCAAGGGTAGTAATACGCCCATTATTATAATAAGTAACGGAAAAAATCTGCAGATATAACGGATCATGAATAAACGGTATGACTTATATAAATAACATTTAAAACTTACATACTTGCCGTATTTGTGCTGTCGCAAAGTGGCAAAACAAATCGCGCCAGCAATTGTGTGCACAAATATTGAAGAAAATAGAGCCCATAGAAATATTTGATACCACATCTCTGTAAGAAAAAAAAAAATTATTACATTTGATTAATTTTCAAAAATAAATTCAGATAAGATATGACAGTAATTCATCATAAATTGTGCATGCATTTATAATGTACTTATGCAATTATATATACCTGCGAATGACGTTAAAGGTGTATTGAATATATTGCCAGAGTTCACATTTCGTAATGCCATTTGCGGTCGCAGTGAACTGATTTCCGTTTGCACATCCATATGGGCATCGATGGGGAAGAGATTTTTCGAACAATCGTCCTTATTTACGCGACATACGAATTTTTTCGTAATTTTTCGCTCCCTTTGCGCTAGTTTGACAATTGTCGATGAGGTTATATCGATGCATCGTTAAGAAATTATTCCGAAACTATTGACTATTATCACAGTTACGACACACGGGAAACGGCGATAACGATAATCATACAAATGGACATACATCCTTTATAAAATGAGACGGAAAATAATGGAAGGAATTTAAATATTTAAATGTGCGGTTGTCAAATTTGACATTATTCGTCGTTATTTGGTTGGCAACAGTCGTCTACGATTTGTCAGCAGTGTTACGTCAGAGGGTTATCTATAGCGGCGCATTTTTTATACTTCCAATTTTTTTCTATCAATTAGATACACGGCAAATTATTTAATAGATGTTATTTTCAAAATTGCTTAATTTAAAAAAAAATTGCAAAATGAAGAACACAGCACGAAATCCTTTTGATATATTTACAAAATCCTTGCTGGACAAAAAATTCTCTGTTCAGCCAGTCTTGTTGCGATCTCATCTTCAAAGCTGATCCATAGATACGGATCTAAAATTGACCGGAAGATTGTTCTGTCCAAACCGGATGTTCCCCACTCTTGGGAGCAGAGATGGCGCTGAAAATCATCTTTTCCTTCCAAGGAGACGAATTCGTACGAGGCTTTCTTTCCACCATTAGCAGCGATGTGAGTAAGATGTCTTTCTCGTTTCATTTTTCTTTTTCACATATATATAATTCGAGAATACTCATTTTATCTAACTGAACACATTTTTAAAGTTGCTTCGCTTTATCAGTGATTTATTGCGAATTATTATTTGTAATTATTATTTTTTTCACGTTTCGTTTGTCCACGTGGATCTTTATTAATGTAGCGTCTCATCTTGATAATTCAGCATTTGTGAATAGAATATATTTCTTCATGTTTTATAATAAACGTGGCAACTTGCAACGTTGTGTTTTATGAATTTGGGAAATTAATGTATTTTTTGTTGGTCCTATATGATCACGTATAAAAAATCCATGAATCGTGAGCCACCATCAGAATTGATTTTTCCACGTGTACAAACGTATCGAATATTTTAATAAGTTAGCTAAAGTTGCTCCAAAATTATCCTCTCATTTTGGCATGCCTCCGTGTTGTATCTCAACGGAGCATGAATGCTTGTGGGAGGTAAAGTAAAAGGGGAATTTGCCTTCGGAATCCACACGATACTGTCTGGAACCGTTTCTCTAAGTTCCCAATAATTCTTTAATTCTTAAATACTGATATGTATTCTTGTAGTACGTAGAAACTATATGACATTTTTAAAATGATTTCAGGTCGGATTAGACAAGATATAAAAGATAAACTTTAAATGAAATATTTTGCATATGAATCTGAAGAGAACAATAAGTAAAAAATGATCTCAAAGATAAGAAGAGTTTCAATTAGAAAAATGCCAGGCTTTGAATCATTGGATAGACTCGCCAAGTGTTGCATGACATTGATAAAATATGCTTGGGCTATCGATCATACAGTTCATGCAACTTTTGGATATTTTCCAACATGAAGAAAAAGACTGGATATTAAGAATTCAGTAATATCAAAAATGGGAAATAAATCGTTACATTAAAGAAGCTTCCAGAAAATATAAATATCATTAAATATGTTGCAAATGGAAAATTGCACAATTTAAATAAGTAAGTGTTTTATAAATTATAACTTTCTTAAAAGTAAATTATTAAAAGTTCATAATATGATGATATTAGTATATGATATAATTATGATATTAAACCCATTTTCCTCTAAGAAGAACTGACTTTTTAAATTAGTTTTCTTTTTCATAACTATACATATCTTGAAATCCTAATATCTATGTTTCTGTATGTAAATTTCAGATTGCAAAAGCTGTTATTGGAGGTTAACAATCCAGATATGGTAACATTATAATGACAATTATAGAGATGAACTATATAGTCTTGTGACAATATAATGTCAATGTAATGAGAAGCATACCAGAAGAAAGATAAAATACTTTGCAAAAATGATGTCAGAAGAACTTGGAATAAAAAAACTTTAAAACTCGATACAAAAATGTGTGAGATAACAGAGAGTCAGTAATGTAAAATAATTTTAAACTATTTTGCAATCAATGATTGCATTACTGTATGACATTGAATATTAATGTAAGTTTTGATAAATTTAATAAACTAGAATTTATATAAGTTCAGTCTTTTATTACCAAATGTTAGTATCTCTAGAAATGATTTTGTCAGTAATGTAGCCTACAATCCCAATGTTTTGCAGATACTTTGATATATTCGCGCTTCTTCTGGTTTATTCAAACATCCATAAAGCTTATTCAGTTTCAAGCAATCTGTTTTACTCATCGCTTTTCGTTGACCGATCGTGACACCAGGCGTTTTCGGTGTCAGAGTTGGTTTCATAGGATCTATACTAAAAAAATAATTACCGTAATGCATTATGCTGTCGTATCCATATTCGTAGCTATACGTCGCATTCTCCGGTGATTGTTTGTTGAAGTTCGATCGAAATCCTAATAATATACAAAAGAAAATGATTGTTAAGAAAATCTATAGAAAAATATTAGTTTCATAATTATATATATGTTCATAAAAATTTAGGATTTAATTCTTACCAGGTATAATATTCTCATAATGTACATTTATATACGTGTCTCTATCGGAACGACTGTGCTCGTGGAAAATACCGAGGGCATGCATCAACTCGTGTATAGCTCTTCCTTCATTTTCCAAGCAATTCGGTCCTTTTTCGTCTGGTGGTTCCAGGGAGAGGATTTGGGTTCCACCGAATTTACCCACGAATGACCAACATCTGAATTAATTTTACGTATGAATGAAATTAATAAAGAAATTAATCTTATTTTTTTATAGTGCAAGAATATTGGGTCAACATCCATGCACGTTTTACAAGTGTTTTTAAAGTGCGAATATTTACCCTTTAGGATGCATTACTGGCCAAATCAGCAAGAAATCCTTGGCTTTACCATCCCATGGAATAAATTTGATGCATGTCATATAATTTATATATGTGATTGCTTTATATATTTTCACATAATCTGTAACATCTGGAAACAGAAAGATTATATATATTATTTCTTATTTTTATCTCGTTTTTCAAACACAATATGGAATATAATATTATAAATATACACACACAATTATTTGTTTATACATACCATATAGAGTGCTAATTACATAAGGAACTGTTCTATTTTGCCACAGTTTATCTGGGAAAACATCCCAACGTAAACCAACACGCCAATGATTGAAATACTAAACAGAACAAAAAATAATATAAAATAAATTATAACAAATATAATAAGGAAGAAAGAGGATAATATATACCTCGCTAGTCACGGCTATATCTCCTTCAAATAAACCAGGACGGACTTCCGGGTCTTGCGAGGACTCGTAAAGATGTAATAAATCATCTTGATTCGATGTTCTAACTGTAAAGCAATTTTTTTTATTTCATAACATGTGCATTCTCTGATATTATACATATATATTATAATGCAAAATGTTCAATTTTCATCACAGCAATATTTCTTAATGAAAGACAAAAAAATTCAGTCTCAATGCAATATATATATATATATATATATATATATATATATATATATGTCCATGCTTACCTAAATTAGGTACGATAGGGTGTATCGCGTTGATAAAAATTTTATTTATTGATGATGCGATTGCGATCGTTGTGCAAAATAAATATGTACATGTTAGCAACTTCATTTTAATCATTATTGCTTCGTATCACGCACTTCTGCACTGCTATTAATTGCTACGAAACATTACGCATAACTATCGCGGTTTTTTTTCAAAAATCAGTGCCTTGACACGTGACATGCAAAGTTACGTAAAGATAGGTTAGAATAGGTCTAGGTAAAGGTACCTTTTCAGGTACCTTAACAGCTGATTGTTGAGACCATAGACTTCTATATATAATATATGTTTCTATATATATTATATTATGTGAAACGAGAAAAAAGAAATATATTTCTCTCTCTCTCTCTCTCTCTCTGAAGATGTTTCGACAAATCGTTTTCTTATCAAGAACATGTATGTCACGTGTCACAGTGTATTATCTACATGTGTAGTTTTTCGCAAATATTATGTATAATATAAATAAAAATATAAATGCAAATTGCATGTGCATTAGAGTGATTAAAGTTGAAGATTATGGGATTTTCGCAAAAAGCGACTGAGAAAAATTTAGACCATGCAATTGCGGGAGCTGCTAGTGGATGTATAACGAGATTTCTATGTCAACCTTTAGATGTTATAAAGATCAGATTTCAAGTAAGTTTTATAATTGTATAACAAATTTTAATATATTTTCTTTCTGCTTGTGCAATTACATAATTTTTGTTGCAGTTACAAGTTGAACCAATTTCAAAATGTCACGTTGGCAAATATAGATCTATATTGCAAGCTTTTTTACTAATCTTGAAAGAAGAAGGGGTTTCTGCTTTATGGAAGGGCCATATACCTGCACAATTGCTGTCAATTACTTATGGGACAGTTCAGGTGCAGAATAAAATTTGTCTAATAATATATTTAGCAATTATATATATATATATATATATATGGTAATTTTTATATGGTTTAGGAATTTTTTTATATTATATGTATATACCTATATGTTTTTCTCTTTTTTTACAGTTTTATTCGTACAATGTGTTGATGCAAATGATGCAAAGAATACAAAAAATTGAAGAATGGAATCATTCGATGCATTTTATTGCTGGGGCTGGTGCTGGAAGTATGGCAACAATTGTTTCGTTTCCTTTTGATACTATAAGGACTAGATTAGTAGCCCAATCGAGTAATCATCAAGTTTATAACGGTGTGCTACATTCTTGTAGGTAAGTTATAAAAAGATTATTTTCAATTTATATTAGTATTAATAATAAAAATTATAATAGAATATTTTTACTAATACACAAATATTTTTATATTTCAATATATATATATATTTTTCTTTTTTAGTTCAATTCTTCGACAAGAATCGCCGAAAGTCTTCTTTTCTGGTCTATTACCAACTTTATTGCAAATTGCTCCACACACTGGGTTGCAATTCGCATTCTATGAATTTTTCACAGATTTCTATAAAAGATATACTTCAAGTACCGATACTAATTTCTATAATTCCATGGTATCTGGTAGCGCCGCTGGATTCATTGCGAAAACGATCGTCTATCCGTTTGATCTTGCTAGAAAGAGGTTGCAGATACAAGGTTTCCAACATGGTCGTAAAGGATTCGGCAAGTTCTTTCAATGTGAAGGATTAATGGATTGCTTAAGAGTGACTGTAAAAGAAGAGGGAGTGCAAAGTCTCTTCAAAGGTCTTGTACCGAGTCAGATAAAAGCTACTGCAACTTCAGCTCTGCATTTTACCACATATGAACAAGTTTTATTACTGTTAAGAATATTGCACTGATAGCAAATTTAAGTAAAACAAATTTATTTAATATATATATATATATATATATATATATGTATACATAATATAATCCTCCCTTTAATTATAATTTGTATATAAATTAATATATTTATTTGTACTCTTTGTAAAGGACTGATTTCTCTAACATATATATTATTTATGTTTATAAATAAAAATTATAGAAATTCTAAATTATTGATTATATATATCATTGAATCTACTTTGATTTAAATATATATCACAATACGATTTTTAAAGATAAAACCTATATATTCCAGTCAACGCATGTAGCTGTATTCATTTAATTTGTGCAGGCATATTTTCAGGTGTTCCTTCTAGGACAGCTATAATATTTTTTGCTGTAATTTTGGCCATTTCATCTCTAGTCTCTATGGTAGCACTTCCTATGTGAGGTAGAATCACTAAAAAAAAAATATAGATAAATATAAATTATAGTATTATTATACAATATATACATATACATATATATATATATATATATATATATATTTTAATATACCTACCACAATTATCTAATTTTAATAGCTCATTATCTAATGGTATCGGTTCTGGTGTCATGACATCTAACCCAGCTGCTGCAATTGTGCCATTCTTCAAGGCGTTTATTAGTGCTTCTTGATCCACCACGTCTCCGCGACTACCATTCACGAATATAGCAGTTTCTTTCATTTGTTTGAAAGCTTCAGTATTAAACATTTGCTTCGTTTTTGGTGTCAAAGCTATAGTCACTACGACAAAGTCACTGTTCTTGAGTAATATGTTAAATTCAACTTTTTCACCGCCGAATTTGGACGCTTCCGGTTTAAGTGTTCTACTCGTATATAAAATTTTAGCAACATTGAAGCTTTTGAGCAGCTCTGCAACCCTAAAGCCGATTCTACCCAAACCGACCATTCCTACAGTCTTTCCTGACAATCCTGTGCCACACATCCATCTCGGTGACCAAGTTTTCCATTCGCCTCTGCAGTAAATAAAACAATAATTTTTTAGTTTACATGTATTCATAAAGATTCTAACAATTTTGTGACGTATCGTTAATATTCAACATACTTGTAAATTGCTTTATTTGCTTGCATTAAATTCCTTGACGTGGCTAATAAAAGACCTACTATCAGTTCTGCAGTTGCTTCAGTCAAAACATCAGGAGTATACCCAACTCTAATTTCTCTTTTCTTTAACGCATCTAAATCCAGGTGATCAACACCCACTGACATAGATGCTACAACTTTCAACTGTGAACCTGCAGCTTTCAGAACCTCATCATCTATCTTATCTGTTAGTACACAGTATAGAGCATCTACTCCATGGATTTTAGATAGTAATTCTGATCGGGGTATTGGTTCAGGCTTGTCCCATAATATAGTCTGATACCTGAAAGTAACAAAATAAGTATTTGTCAGATAAGTAATAACTACACATATGTATTGTTATTACATTCCTTTGTTTCATGGCATTATACAATATTTATACAGTATAATCATTAAATAAAACTTTACATAAAATTATAAATAAAGAAGTAAAATGTATAAAATAATGTAATTATAAAAATAAAAAGATAAAGATGAATGAGATAATAAAAATCATACATTTTACAATACAATAAAATAAATTGTTTTAGCAATAACAATTTATTGTAAATAGAATATTCACCGTTCTTGTAGTAAAGATAAGCCTGCAACAGGTATGTCCGGTCGTGTAATTAAGATTTTAGGTTTATCCATTTCGACAGAACTCATTAGGACTTTCGGACAACTGTAGATTGTTGAGTTGATCCTGTTCGAAAATACGAATCTCTCGCTTTGCTTAAAGAAGCAGATAACGTTCCTGTATTGCATTACGGACGACGATAGCGTGGTTGTGGTAGGTTGTTTGACAAAATTGTAGTGTTGGATCCGCAGCGTTTTCGTTGCTGTTACCAGACTGTATGTTTGCTACATGTGTCACAGTGTCACGATCATGACACGTATAGCAAGCATACAGTCTGGTAGCAGCAACGAAAACGCACCTTATTTTGACAGATGACAGATGTACACGTCGTATGATTCGTCAACGAACTAACCTCTTTAAATCTTGTAAATTTCTTAATTTTCTGTAAAAAAGATGATATATATTCCTTCCTTTGGATTATCGAATGGCGAGATAGGAACTTATATATTTATATAACTTCAAATAATTTTTATAAGTAATTTTTTAAATCTTATTCACATCAGTTGATGATGATTTATAATTCTCCTTCGTCGTTTTAGTCTTTTTTTTATTCAATCCTCACTTTGTTTTTAATCTGTTAAGATATATAATTTAATTCTTTGAGACACAAAAATTCACGATAAAATGTACCGCCGACGTGGTCGACGGTCACTGTATGACTTGGAGATAAAATGTAGCATGCACTCTAATATTGAGTTGGTACTCTGTATGATAATTATATTGTTTCAGAGATGTTTGTGCGCCTGCTGGAATTATGTAATAACAAAGAGTTAAAAATTGTTATAAAGAGGGATATGTAAAAGACAAACATCTCACATTTATAATCAGATATTTCTCTTTATTCATACATATATATTGTTAATAAAGTTAGTATAGAAGGCACTTATATATAACAATCATATTTTAAATATATATATTTATAAAAATAACAAGCAATATTATTTCTAATAAAATGTATATGTAAACAGGTTTCGTTTTTTTATACATTCTTTTTAGTCAGCTATTATACATAGTACTTCTGTTTCCTGTTAATACTGCATAAAATGAATAAAACAGCTTTATGTAATTTTCTTTACAAAAATAATACTTCATTCGCATACCACAAACTATGTATCTATGAATTATCAAATAAAAGACCTATTAACAAATTATACTGTGTCAATATACAAATGCTTTGCTATCTTCTAAACGATCGGACTGCTTCGCGTCTTTTTGATTTCTCATGGCTGCCGTGACCGTGTTTTTCATTAGCATCGCCACCGTCATAGGGCCCACACCACCGGGAACCGGTGTAATATGTCCGGCGACTTCCTTTACACCATCGTAATCCACATCTCCCACCAGGCAATAATTGCCGTCTGCCTTCTTCACTCTGGTGATTCCCACATCAATTACACAAGCGCCTGGTTTAATCATTTCCTTGGTGATCAAACCGGGAACTCCAGCTGCCACCACAACTAAATCCGCCAACTTTGTAAACTTTTCTAGTTCTGTGTGAGGAGTGTGAATATGGCAAATTGTTGTTGTCATATCCAGCGCACCCGTTTCAGCTGAAAATACAATGCAGAATTAGTTTGGAAAATCATAGATTAGAGAAAAATATATAAGAAGTTTGATGAAACTCAGTTATTTGATAGTAATTAATAAATATTAAAATTTAAATCTATAACAATTTTTCTATGAAGAAAGATATTAGAATGTATAAATGGAGAAACATATTAGGCTGGCATATTACTAACTAATAATAGATTTCTATTATTAGTTAGTAATATGATTCTACTTTAATGACATAATTTTACCAAGTTAATATTACCTTTGCCATCTGCGTGAAGTAACAATGCAATAGGAAGTCCGACATGTTTGGATCTACCAACAACCACAGCGTTTTTTCCAAATGTTTCAATTTTACTCCTAACTACTAATTCCTTGACAGCTAGGGCAGTGGCTGGTACAATACTACTTTTGTCCAGTGTCAAATTGCCAAGATTTTCCAAATGAAAACCATCTACATCTTTTTTAGGAATTATCGCTTGGCATACTTCTCTGTCATTCATGCCCTTTGGCAATGGTAATTGTACCAAAACGCCATCAACTGATGGATCTTTGTTAAGATGATCAATTTCCGTAAGAAGTTCTGTCTGTGTTATGTTTTCTCCCAAATGAATGGTATAACTCTCAATTCCTGATCATTAATAAATAAAATATTAGTATAAGTAAATTTGTGGTAAAAATAATTGTCAAAATAAAAAATATATTTACCTACTAATTTTGCAGCTTTCATTTTTCTACCAATGTATGCTTTACTAGATGGATGATTTCCTACTAAGATTGCTACTAGTTTTGGCCTTTTTTTGCCAGCATTTACACAAGTATTTATAACAGCTTTTAACTCTTCTTGAATCTCATTCGCTATTCTTGATCCATCTATAATCGCAGCTTCTTGTCTGTAAATAAAATTCAGAATTATTATATACACAAATCAGTATAGATTATATTCACAATATCATTAACAAAGTTTTTATCGAGATTATAATGCTGAATTATTATATAAATTCTTGAAAAATCATGATATTTTTACACATTGTTAAATATTTTATATAATTTTATTATTATTATATTATAAATATTTTTTATATATAAATATATATTGAGGGTATATTACAATTACTATTATTATATTCTTTGTATTGTAGATTAAAAAATTGTTCATAAATTATTTAAATATCTAACAAAAAAGAAAATTGTAAAAAAGGAACTTGCACCCACCGGATTTTTGACAGATGCAGCTTTCTCGCAAAGCTCTGCGAGACGATGGAGAAGATGCTCCTTCGAGAGAACATGGTTTGCAGATGTTGCTTCAAGGGATTCACTCACTATTCTGAGATACATATTATTGCATGCTGCCAAAGATATGCCGAGGAATTCCGGTTAAAGCTTGTGCAATCCCTGTTATTACGTTCGTCTGCGATAATACCAGAGTGTTATTCGAACAAACAGCTGTCATAAAAACAATACAGCTCGCTGGGGGTCGATACTACTGACGTTTTACGAAGTATTACGAAATCGATTAAGATTGGGAGTGAAAGGCCAGCGATTAGAATACTTGTCTGACTAGTCTCGCTCTTTTTTTACTCGAAAAAATCATGTGGAAAAATAACCAATCAAATTCCGACGAAGTCGCAAAACACATGTTCGCGATCAAACATGTAACGTCAAATACGGAAATGACAGGCATAAATATTACCCGCAGAGCAGTAAAATTGAGAAAGTAATTTTGATAGTCATCCAGAGATGGCGCCACAAGTCTATTTTCGCATGCATCAATGTTTTACGTTATTGCTAGATGGAGCTGCATGTTCCATTGATCAGAGTTCATTCAATGTATTAAAAGAGTAGTCAATATAGCAAATAATTTGATATATCAAATACCGAAATGATATAAAACGGTATAAAATGAAATATGATAGATATAAAATAATTTACTTATTTATTTATTTCTATCTGACTGAAAAGATATTTCAAGAGATATTTTTCACAAAAACTAGCTGTCACTTTGCGTATCGTGTTGGTCGTACCAATTAATTTTGATTTATGAATGATAGAATTATGTTGTAAAATTTATTCCCAATAAAAAAATTTCCAGGTTGAATAATTCTTGTTATATTAAATTGCAGTATCACCTATAGTAGTATTATAATATATGTATATAGTAGCATGTGTCAAATTCGCTCGTTTTGTATCGCAGGCTATTATGAATTAATATATTTTATATCAATAAGCTGAAGGCTACATGTATTTAAAAATAAATAAAATATTTTTTTAAATTCTATTTTTTCAAATTCTGTTTTTCCAATAGATTTTCAAGAAATCTCGTCGATGGGCCGTGTGTTTGACATGTTTATAAAATTCAAATTATATAGTAATGCCGAAAATGAATTAATATTTCAAGAAATTATTATTATTATACACGCTGAACTTTACATCCGATGAATAAAATAACAGACATATAAACGTGGAGTAATTTTATAATAAAAATAATTTTTTCATATAAAATAGAGAAACGTTTTTATATAAGATTTATACCATATTACATGAAAATTTTTCTCTGAATCTCCTCTTGTTTAGCATTGAAATAAATGAACCAAATTAATGTGCGTGCGTGCGTACGTATCATTTATAATAATTTATAAACAAATAAAAATAAAAATAAAATAAAATAAAATATAATTTAAATTATTAAATTTAAATAATTAATATTCATAAAAATCTATAATTGTGTTGTCCAATATCTTAAATATTATGTTATTGTTCTTTAAATACAATTAATGTTTTATGACAGATATCACTTGATTTCTGTCAAAATATATTAATCGAGAATTGTCGATTACATTTTGAAAAAAATGAAATTTAACACACCAATTAATTTATATAATCTATTAGCTGATTAAAGCGTTAATTTGTTAAGTAATTTTTAAATAATAATATATTTTAAATAATATTATATAACATATATTATTTACAATATATTACTGTATGTCCTCTTCTTTGGAAAAAAGTTATTTATAATTTTAAATATATTTTTGTATTTTAAATTTAGAAATTGTTTTTATATCAAAATATTATTGCCATTAAAATTCATAATATTATATTATATTATTACGTATTTTATTTTTTGTTATAAACAAAGCGCGCGCCTGTGTTGTTCTAGTATTTTAAAACAGGCATGTCAAACAATACATTTTGCGTCACGAGCCACACGAACTATTTTACATTAAGCTGAGAGCTGCATGATGTCAATATTCAAAAAATAAATAAAATACGATTTTTTAAAGGCTTATAGTTTTTTAAAAAGACTTATTTTTTCAAATCCTGTTTTTCTAAAAGATTTTCAAAAATCTCGGCAGGCCGTATCCTTTTCGTTGGCGGGCCGCGTGTTTGTTTGATCTATAGAGATGTTTAATTATAAAGCGCGCGCGATATTCTCTCCATTAAGGGATTAGAGAAACTGTTTATTAAATCGATACCCTACTGATATTCCTATATATTTATTTAATGCGATAATAAACAATCGGGTATCGTTTCACTAACTTGAATATCGGATAAAAAAGACGCTTTTTTGCCAAACGAAATAATATATTAGAGACGTTAAGGAATGATTACATCAAATTATTGGCAAGTTTCGGGCATGGAAAAGAGGCGCACGCTTCAACGACGAAGTAATATCACGCTGGAACTGTATTAAGAGCATGAAATATGACTGAACGCGTACTCTCCTAGCGTGCCGGCCGTATTATTACTCCAATCCATCGTGTCATAACTACTGTAACGTGGCCTACATAGTAAATATTAAACATGTTGTTCGATTATACCCTCGTATATTACATTGCGGAACTTGACGGATTTGCCTCAATTTAGAAGAGAGAGAGAGAGAGAGAGAGAGAGAGAGAGAGAGAAAGTGGGGCAGGAAGAATTTACGAAGAACAATCAATATATAAAATAACATAAAAAATTGTGCAAAAATAGAAATGCTAATGGAATAAGTTTGTTGTTATCAGCAAGGACTGTATTGATGAAAATCTTCATATGGTGCATTCTATACCGCAATTTTATAACGATGTCACTTTGTTCCAAAATAACGATCTGTCGGTTATTACCAAGTATGTCGGTGAGTGTGGGAAAATTTTAGTAGATCCCTACGGTATGGCCGAATATTTAGTTGGCCGCAAGGGTTGGCGCGCATAGGACGCATACTTTCCGCGATATTATAAGCCAAGCTTGAGCTTCCTCCTCCTGGTGCAACCATTGATCAAATAGTTGGTCTCAGTTGCGACCCAAGTGCTGGTATGTGTGAATGCGCGTTTGTTGTTAAATCTTGCTGTCAAAATTTTGGTTTGCCGGCAAATCGATTGCAATATGTCGGTTGAAATGCTTAATGTTGCAATGGGAACTATTTCTGATGTACATCTTTGATAACGCGGAAAAATATGTCAAATAATATGTTTAAACAAAATCTTATAATATTCATGATTATGCAGAATATTATAGGTCTCAAAGGAAATTTAATTCTTTCACGGCTTTTTCATCATCTATTTCTTTTTCAGATTTATGGTACCATAAAAAAAATCCTGTGGATACTTACATACATTAAATAATAATCTTATATATTTCAATAATAATTTTATACTTCTTACACTTTGGATAGATACTAATTTGTCTTAGTTTAATACAATATATATAACGTTTTACTATTTTCGAGTATATAATAAACTGCGATCTCAATATTAAAATAAAATTCGCGAGCACAAATTAAAATGTAAAGTTTTTAACGTACGTACGTCATAAAGGTATAATATAAATTATAAAAGATATGCTCTCTCACTCTTTCTCTCTTTCGCAAATGTCTAGTTTTATATTCTTTTCCAAGAGGGAAGGAGAAAGATGCAACTATGTCACGCAGCTCAGCTATTTTAGTCGGCGGTGATTAATTCCGGCGAGTTCTTTTCGCGTGTGTCCATGCACCGCTTGAATTTCCTAAATTCACGAGCTGGTTTTGAGCCCGTTTGAATTCCTCGGCACTCGACATTTTAACAATTTGCCCTCCCCGTTATAACTGCGCAAGTATGATAATTATGCGTCTCTCGTTTACTAACGTCGTTTTCTGTGTAAGACCCCTTGCGATTTTCGTGTTTAGGATGCCGTCTCTTCGTGTCACATCTCGCGATTACGTTGCAGATAGCCCTTTTGTTTCTTTTTCCTTTACGAGAGCGGAATTACTCTCGCGCGATATTTCGGACGACGTCGGACCGCGATCGGAGAACCGTGTGCAGACTGCATTATGCAAAAAATTATGCGCCCGTTGAATGAATAAATATGTATTCCTGTCTCGTATATGCACTACACCCCTCGCCCTTTGTCCTTTACCCTTCGCCCAGTAAGCTTCGCGACAGCGCTCATACATAATTTATCGTCCGTAGAATCTGCGCTCTCTCAGCGATAAAACGTTTACTATAATCGGTATACATTGTTATCGCTATCGACGCAGCAGGCGGGACTTGCGTAAATGTGCCTTCTAAATTTGTCTCTCTTGTCTCTGTCCAAGTCTTGTTTTATCATATTCTTAAATCTCGAAAAATATGAGGTCGTTATCTATATTTTCCGGTTTTCGCAAATCTGCTTAAAATTGAAGATACGCCATTAAAATATATTCGAGAGATATCTTGATAAAAATTAATTACAAAAGTCAGGAACTAGTCAGTTTTTACAATTTTGGACTTTATAGACAATAAATATGTTTACGATTGGATACAAAATTATGCTTAGATAAAACTCTATTTCAATGGCTTCCTACTAATTAGTACATAGATAACTTTTAATTATAGTAATATATTTCAACAATAATACATATAATAACAGTATAGATAATTTAAAAAAATGTTTTTAATGTGTTTTAATTAAGATCTGCAATAAATGTAAGAAAGATGTTAAAATATTTTTATTTATTTAAAAATAATAATCTATTATAGTAAATAATCATATTCTCTAAATAGATTTTGAGAAAATCTAGGTAAAAGTTCTTCAGAAAAAATAATCAATAATTACTTATGGTTAGAGAAAAACTGGCTAGATTTATTGTTTAATTATTGAAATAAAGACCAAAAGCAATAATACCGATCAAATATTAATTGGTCAGAACTCTCTGGTCTCCACTGATTATATTGTAGTTTATTTTCTACTTGAATGTATTAATAACGTCATCTTATTTTTATCACTGTGCATGGTGTAAATTGCTGATAACGTTATTGTCATATTTTTATTACAAATAACATATGTAGGGGGTCTTGATAAATCCGACAAAAATACTATGCAGATATGAATTTGTGCAAAATATCGCTGCTAACGAGAAGTTGTGACGTAAAACTGATCACTGACGTCTGTATAAACAACAGAGATGTCGACAGACGCTTGACGGTAGATTACACATCGGTTTGTTGCGAGTCAATTTTTAATGGATATTCGTATACGACGATGACAGCGTTGATACGGTTATATTTTGATTGAAATTGTGCGTGACGATTATAGCATCACTCTGACAGCAATCATGTTGCAACACTTGCAACATAATTGCTGTCAGTTTTTATTATCGCGTCATCAACTCGATAACGTTCAGTCAATGTTTAATTACGTAAATGTCTGTTTACATAAACG